ATCCCGTAGTGGTAGAGGTAGCAAGAGTATAAGCAGTAATCGGGAAGATTAGGGTTTGGAGATGTTATTTAAAGAGTATAATCCAGTGAAATAAATTTGGAAAGAGGAAAAAAGGGACATGAAGGATTCAGAAGATTAGAATTTGGGAGAACACAGAGAGTGGATGCACCTGCGCCATTGCAAACGATTTTGAGCCATGTCATTCAGGGTCTCTAACCATCGGTTGCTATCATCTCGCGGTCCCCAACCAGGTAGTCTACACCTACCAACATGACTCAGTCACTTGTCAGTGACTTCATGGACTTGTGCCATGTTTTGGTTTGGCCGCCCCTAGCTTTCTTCCAACCTACTCCTATACCACTGAACATAGCACGTCGAGGCAGTCGGTCGTTGGGCATACGTAACACGTGTCCCAGCCATCTCAACTGATGAAGTTTCACTACTTCATCAATTGATTTGCCATCCTTACCTAGTACCCGTTTCCTAACAACTGTGTTACTTACTCGATGGTCCCATGATATACGAGCAATATTTCGAAGACACCTATGATCAAATACTAGTAACCTACGAATATCCTCTACTCTTACCGGCCATGTTTCACTGCCATAAAGTAGGACGGAACGAACTGCTGCGCAGTAAACCCGTCCTTTGGTTGATAGACGGATATCTCGCCTACGCCATAAATGACGCAAGTTGGCAAAAGCTAGTCGAGCCTTCTGTATCCGTGCTGAGATTTCGTCACACACTAAACCACAAGGGCTGATGAGACTTCCAAGATAAGTGAAGCGGTCGACACACTCAACTACTTCACTCCCTATCACTAGTTCGGGTGTCGATGTAACCCAATCCTGAAGCAACATTTTGCATTTCGAGGGAGAGAATCGCATCCCGAACATGCTTGCATTGTTGCTTAGAGTGGTCAGAAGACTCTGCATTTTGTCAGCGTCTTCACCAAATAAAACTATGTCATCAGCATATTCTAAGTCAACAAGTGAACCTCCTGGTAGAAGTTCAACCCCTGTAAATTTAGATGAGGAGAGTGTTATCTCTAAAAGTACGTCGACCACAAAGTTGAACAAGAATGGGGAGAGTGGACAGCCCTGACGAACACCACTTGAGGTAATCAATTCTGATGACAGTTCGCCATAAGCTCTCACTCGACCAGTTGTGTTCGAGTAGAGAGCCTTTATAAGGTTAATGTACTTCTTTGGTACTCCTTTCAGTGACAAACACTGCCATAGAACCTCACGATCAACAGAGTCGAATGCCGCCTTAAGGTCGAGAAATACTACCATTGTGGGGCGTCTGAATGTGTGTCTGTGTTCTAGAACCTGACGTAGTGTGAATATCTGATCTATACAACCACGTCCAGGTCGAAAACCGCCTGGTTTTCTCTAATCTGCTCTTCACGAGCTTTGATTAGGCGTCGAAGTATTATTGAAGCTAATATTTTAGACACTATATTAGTCAAACTGATTCCTCTGTGATTGTCACAAGAGGACTTTTGTCCTTTCTTATAGACTGGCACAATCAGTGATTGAGACCAGTCAGATGGGATTACGTCCAGTTCCCAAATTCTACCTAAGACCTCAGTTAATCTCATTGCTAATACTGGACCACCATCCTTAAAAATCTCAGGAGTAAACCTGTCAGGGCCTGCTGCTCTCCCTCGTTTCAGATTTCCTATGGCTTTTTCAACTTCGTAAAGGGACGGAGGACCTACATTAACTTGCCATTCAGGTTGACTAGAGATCGTGGGAAACCGAAGTGTGGCTGAAGGCCAGTTGAACTGATCCCTAAAGTGTTCTGCCCATCGATCCAATCTCCTGGATTGAGAATGAATAATATGTCCATCTTTCTCTGAGATTGTTTCGCTAACGGTCGGGTTCCTAATTCCGGTTTCCTTAACGAGTCTGAACAATTGTCTGCTATTACCTATTGCCGCTGCCTTTTCCATCTCTCTTGCTTTCGCTACCCACCACTGTTCGCGATCATTGCGTAGACTTCTTGTCAGCTTGCGCTTAAGCTGACTCCGCTCTTCATTATGTTCAGAGCCAGGTGGAATGAGTTTCCGAGCATCTATCAGTGCGATAGATGCTGCTGAGATCCAGTGTTGCTCCCTAACCTTCTGGTTTACCTTACTAGCAGATATCACTGCTGTTTCCACAGCTTTTCGGATATCATTCCATGCTGCATCGGGGTGGGCATCACATACATGGCTGCCTAACTGTTTTCCTAGTTGTTCCTGAAATATACTCTTAGCTTGACTATCATTAAGTAGGCCCTAAGAGGTTTCCTTGCAGCGTCTTTCCTACGTCCAGTAAGACGCAAGCAAATACGCGCTCGCACTAGAGCATGATCTGAATCTAGGCATGTGCTCCAGAATGAGCGACAGTCTTCTATCGAGCCCCTCCATCGGTGGCTGATAGCGATGTGATCTATTTGGGTCCAACGTTGGGACGAATTAGGGGGTCGCCATGTTAAAAGATGTTTTTCCTTATGCTTAAAGTTAGTATTTGCAAGGAACAGGCGGTTATCTGAGCATAGCTGCAACAGACGGTCGCCATTATCTGTTCTTTGAGCCACGACACCATAAGATCCACCTAGGTGTCTTTCCTATCGCTTAGTTTACCTACTTGAGCATTAAAGTCACCGGCCACTATTACTACATCCGAGCGCCTAGCTTTTCGGAGAAGGTCCGAAAGCTTTCTGTAAAACTCATCTTTTACATCATCTGAGCTGCAGTCAGTGGGAGAATAGGCAGAGACGACGAAGAGGCAACGACGAGTGTCCCTATCTTTCCGGATTCTTACTGTTCCGTTCAGTCGGACAGCGCACAAACGACTGTCTACTGGGATCCACTCTAAGAGAGCTAGTTCTGCCCTAGGACTCAATGCTATACCTACGCCGGCGAGGCCACGGGAAGCAGAATCAGGGCTTCCAGATACACGAAGCGTAAATCGAGTCGGTTCTTTATTTTGGCATGGTGAGGTCAAATGAATGACGCTACTTGGATCCTGTATGCGCGTTTCGGAGACGCAGCACACATCGATGGCGCGAGATTCTAAAGTTTTAGCTAAGGAAGCCTGCTGTCCTATTTGGCAAAGTGTTCGTACGTTAAAAGCTCCTACGTGTAGTTTAGAGCGTGGTTTCAGGAGACCAGGAATGGCGTTCCACGTACTCGAATCGTTTGCCCTAGCGGTGCGAGGTGATAAAGAGACGTGAGGAGGGTTAGTCATGGAGATAAGAGAGGTATTAGGAGGTGTAGGAAGGATTTGAATGTGACCACCTTGGTCTCTTGTGCTGTTACGGGTATGAGGGCTGATGTCACTTCCCGGCTGCCCACACCGTGGAAGGGTATTTCTTGAGGAACCTGAAAAGGAAATTGGATTAGTGTTGGTCTTGACGACCTGGGAGCGTGACCGCAGAGCCCAAGGGACAACTGCTTGAGGCCGGTCGCGCACGGCCTTTTTGTGGAAGGTTTTTGACGTGTTAGCTCCGTTCTTCAAAGGGCCTTACCGCCGGAGACGGAAATCCGTGAGGTAAGGTGAGGTGTGACATTTTTAGGGTCGACCTTTTCTAACCCCACCCCTCCTTGTGGGAAGGCAGCATCGCTGTCATGCTGGTTGTCCGAGGAAACACCTTACTGCTGTCACACCCTCTACAGTCAGCAGTACGACTTCGCCCTCAGACCTTGAGTTGCTGCTTTTAGTCTTACCGTTCACCAATCGACCTGCCTGGCATGGTAGAACCTACAGGAACATATGTTCCAGCCAATATAGCTCGGTTGGGTCATCACGATAGGCAAGCCCGACCACCGCGTCAAGGTAGCAGCTTCGATCGGGAAGCGGCTAGTACTTTAACTGCTAAGTTACTGAACAGTAGAGAGAAGAGACAATGAAACGCAAGAAAGCAATTGTATTGTTTGTGGTGACTAAATCAGAAACACAGTGACGTAATATTTCTCCGAGACATTTTCCGATGTAGTCGATGATATAGTCATACCTGACTTCATCCCTTAAATGCCCTGGTACGGCCGAGAGTGGGAAGAGTTCGCTCTCCCTCTCCGAATGCTCTCACATGGTCACGTGTATAAAGCCACTGACAGGGAAGTCCCACTCATTCCCTTCTCGTGGTGTGGGTGTTGTTTACGAAATTGAGAGGACGAAAAGTGAATGTCCGGCACTTCAACCGGGTTGATGGATATGGAAGATCCAACTAGGGAGTTACAAAACCCTGATTCCAAACCAATGGTGCACATGGGCTCCAGGATCCTGAAGGAACAAATGGTTTATGAACCAATCGTTGGTCCCTGGCTACCATGGGATTGTATCTCCTTACGTTGCTCCACTGCCTTGTGGATTAGACCTTTAGGCCGAAGGCTCGGGGTGTGACCCCTTAAGGAGACCACCTCCTTCGGTCTGGGCACTTGGGCAGTATCACAGCCCACACACATTAATCGAATGATTTATGTGGCACATATCTATTTTTACTTTCTTGTATCAATGTTTACGTGTTTAAATAAATAAATAAATCAGCTCAAACCAAGAAAAAACATGCTTCACATGAAATGAAAACATACAATTCAGTTTTCAACAACTGAGCTATTCAAAGGCCATCTGGATGATTTTAACACGTAAACAAAATATGGATGCAAGCTAATCACAAAGTAGGTTAGTCAGAGCAGAGTACAACCAGATACGTAAATGCATCGGTTCAAGTTGCCACATCGACATCGTCAACCTATGGTTACCATAATCGTGAGGACACTAATCAGGTAGTCTGCATCTAGCAATACAGATCAGTCAAACAGTAAATGACTTTATGGACTGATGCCACATCTTGGTTTGACCACACTCAACTATTTTAAAATCTACTCCTGAAATACGGATGGTTGACATTATTTCCATTTTATAAGTCTGTTAAATAAAGTGTTACGACAAAGCGTTAACAAATAGACACTATGAATTCTTCATCAACCAATAATAATAAATACTTACGACTGCTTTCACGACATAGCATTGTTCCATCTAAACATGTTGAATTCATACGTGCACCAGGAGCCGAGTTCACAATACTGGAATTTTTATCATCAACAGTACCATAACACACTGATTGATTAGTAAAATGTTCATTACCGCTTACACGTGGATAATTGGTACCATCGATAAGTGGATCAGGAGATTTGCCATCATATAATCGTAAATAAATCGGATTATAAGGAATTGACAAAACTGTAGTATCATAACCAGCATTTACTAGTGATTCAGTTATTTTATCTGATGAAAACAATAGATCATCATTTATTTCAAATTCAGTTGGATAACTGTTTGAAAACAAACAAACAACGGAGACATTAATTATTACCACTATTAATCATAAGAGAGAATACATAGATAATAACTTTGATAGATGCCACTACAAAAAGATTTTAAGTTGAAAACAATTGTGACTTGGGTGGCGAACCACATAGAAAATGAGGTAGTAAATAACTGATGACAAAAAATGAAAATAACACTATAGTTAATTTTTAAAAAAAACAGAAACCATTGGATATTGACTCACGGTATCGTGGTCATCCTTAGAAATGAGGGTTACGAGTTCTATCGTGAGTGAATTAATGTATGCATAATGCTAACCAATGCTGGTGTAGGAGTAGATTTTAAAAACGTTGAGTGTGGTCAAACCAAGATGTGGCATCAGTCCATAAAGTCATTTACTGTTTGACTGATCTGTATTGCTAGATGCAGACTACCTGGTTAGTGTCCTCACGATTATGGTAACCATAGGTTGACAATGTCGATTGACATGTCCGAGAATCGGTAACAATAACGCAGATGCATACATCCTTTCTCTTTCATTAGATCCTTGACGTCGAACGAATCTTATACTTTTTATTCAACGAATTCATTACATCTTCTAAAATAATCTTGTCCATGCCAAGTTGATTCTACCAGTATTGATATTAGTATTACTTCTACTACTGTGATATATTATCTTGTTGTGCTAATGTAGTGTGGCAACTTGAACCGATGCATGTAAGTAGCTGGTTGTACTCTGCTCTGACTAATTAACTTATTTCACCAATACCAAGACAATGTTTCATTAAGAAATAGTATCAGCCGAAGATTTATGAAAAATCATGGTGGAATTAATGTTTTGGTCGAGGTTTTTTGTATATAAATGACAGTTTTTATTTTCCTCAATATAGTTTTAACTTTTATTTTGGCTTACTATCTTTCAAAAAAAGCACTTTAAGGTTCAGAACTCGTGGTTATATAAGTAAATTATGTCCAATATCAGCATTTCATCAACAAATTGTGACATCATAGCATAAAACATATCTAAACTTGTAGTGCCGACGTTGTTGTTAAAGTATTCAGTTTTATATCAGTAGATCATAGAATCAAACCTCGCTCTATCTGCTACTTTATTGAGAGTAGTCGGGTACAAAGAATGTCGTGTGAACAATTATTTGATTGGATTTTTTTATTTGGTCCAGTTAATTAGAAATCTACTGTCTTTAGTCTTCCGATTGTACAATATCAACATGCGTTTGCCATAGATTTTATAAGAAAAACTCATTAACTAGGTACAGATTCGTGTAATTGGCTATTGATACTACCCGTCGTTCTAACGAAATTATTCGGAACAGGGTTTAAATTTGAGACTTAATGGTTGGAAGTCAAAACCTTAGCTACTGAAACATTCCTCATCAGCGACTGATGACAGTTTTGCAGTAAATATTATCTGCATATAGTTAATTGACATGGACGAATTGAAGAAAAACAAAAATTGATAAATAACATACGTGAAGTATCAAAATAAAAATTACCTATCCACAGTATTTGTTCGATTAAATGCAACGGAAGGCAGTAACCACGGTGCTACGTCTCTTCGACGCTGAATAACCTATTTAAAGTGGAAGAAAATAAGCCAAGTAAGAAATCCGACAAAAATATAGTGGAAAAATCCTTGAAGTTCGTAATACATAAATGCGATTAGTGAGGACTTGTCAAATTTGAAGATCATGAACTAACATCCGCTAAGGTGCCACCGAAATATGGAGAGCAGTAAATATATATGTTTCGCTTCTATTTTAAAACATTTCATATGATCCCACTTAAGATTACCCTCAAGATTTCCACGTGTCCTGAAGATCTAATGAGAAGACATAATCAGTGTCACGAACCGCATCGGAAGTGAAGTGAACTCCCGTTAATTATAGTAAATTATGATCGTGTAATTATGCAAACTAGAGACGCTTTATGAAATTTAAGCGTTGAAGACAGAAATCTGAATGCAGAAGTAGCATATTCAAAATCTAAATGGGCCTAATTTCTCATGATTTTTCCTACTCAACAATATGTTGTTCTTAATAACTTCATGGCTTTCATTTCCTCACCACCTAGATATTCGCCAAGTGGACAATCAGCTTCCATATATTTAAACGGTCAGCTACTCACTAACTTTATCTATTATACAACTTTCTGGTAACATTTGAAATTTCTAAACACTTTGTGATGAAGCCACCTTCTAGTTATCAATAGACTGACAAACATTTTCTAAATAGTCATAAAGACAATTGTATAGCTCCAGTAAATGATATTGTCAAAAAATGATAAATTTGATTCGTCAAATTATTTGTAATTATTTTTCAGTTAGATTCACTTGGTACTGTTTTGCTTGTATCTTCCCATTGGGGTTTTAAGACTGCAATTGATCAGTCTGTTATTGGCATATGTGCATACTGTGCGTGTGCCTCGATATTGCCTTAATTCACAAGCTTTTTCAATTAGTGTTAGGTTCATCGCATATTCGGATTGTATCAAGTTTACCAAAAATACATAAGAACCATGGATACAACTTCTATATAAGATAGCAGGAAGGAGCAACTAATGGCTTCCGAATGAAAACAAAATAGTTGCCTAGTTCTTAGAAGCGTTCAATGGTTCCCTAAATGATATCAGCTTCTGGTGACGTATTTATAAAATATAACAGAGATCAGTGATAACAACATTAAACTGAGGATATAGATCCGAGAAAACCGTCAATATATTTTCATTCATCATATTCACTATTATATATATTGATATACCACTATGAAAAATAACCAAAAGTCACTTACAGTATAAATATGTTCACTAAGTGATTGAAGATTAATCAACTGAACAAGTAGTGTTATTGTACTAGCTAATAATGCATGTAAAGCACAGCGATGTGTTAACGGCATATAAGTATTTTCATCAATGATTTTTGTTTGAACTGCCAAGATTAAACGAAACAATTCTGTAATAACCTGATGAAAAAAATATAACAGAAAGAATTGGTTTATTAAATAAAAGTAAATCAAACAAACGAGAGTGAAGTAAAACGTTTTGTGAAGAAAACTACATTGATGAGTTTTGTATCATCTACTACTCCACGATTCACAACTTCGATACAATTATAAAACAAAACAAAAGATATAAAACATAAGTTAAAAACCAAAATCTTGCATCCAACCGTTGAAAAAACAAAAATAACACTCAGAAATCCTACTGCAGATAAGATGTAAGCCGATTAATAAATTACGAAACGTGAGTGTATGTAAAGGAATCCAATTCAGATACATTTGAGAATAGACGAGTAAGAACGCAGGTATCAGGGCGTCAAACTCAAACTTACAGGTGTAGTTCCTAATTCAAAAAAAAGAGAATCTTAAGTGTTTTTATGGCTAGTTGTAACTGAAATTCTAAGAAACTGGATTTTCGAACACTGAATATTAAGGACGGAAAATAAAACGTTCCCAGAAAATCTAATTCACATTACATAGATTTGCTAGCATTGATAGGATGATTAATTACAGTAGTTGTGATGATAACGCAATAGGATTGATTTCAATTGAAACTTAATATCAAGGATCATACTAATAAAACGGGATATTAAACGAGGAAGCCGACCTAGATTATAATATGGGAGTCAGAAGAATTCAGAACGGAAGTTTCAGGTTACGTGAAACACAAAACGCAATGTCCTAACCACTAGACCACAGCGACCCATGCCCCCAAATGCCCTGGTACGGCCGAGAGTGGGAAGAGTTCGCTCTCCCTCTCCGAATGCTCTCACATGGTCACGTGTATAAAGCCACTGACAGGGAAGTCCCACTCATTCCCTTCTCGTGGTGTGGGTGTTGTTTACGAAATTGAGAGGACGAAAAGTGAATGTCCGGCACTTCAACCGGGTTGATGGATATGGAAGATCCAACTAGGGGAGTTACAAAACCCTGATTCCAAACCAATGGTGCACATGGGCTCCAGGATCCTGAAGGAACAAATGGTTTATGAACCAATCGTTGGTCCCTGGCTACCATGGGATTGTATCTCCTTACGTTGCTCCACTGCCTTGTGGATTAGACCTTTAGGCCGAAGGCTCGGGGTTTGACCCATTAAGGAAACCACCTCCTTCGGTCTGGGCACTTGGGCAGTATCACAGCCCACACACATTCATGTGACTTGTGTGTCGCATATATATTCGGTGCCTCCTTGTACTAATATCTACGTGGTAAAATAAATAAACGTGAAACACATCAATTTTAGGCATTCGCTGTTAGTGGTATGTAGAATAACTAAAAAATTTGACGAACTGAATAATATTTGAAACGCTTACTAAGCCGTGTGACCCTGATTTAACTAATCATTCTTAATTTGAAGATGTGTGAATCGCCAATCAATAACACATTGTCATTTATCGTACACATACAATCGTAATTGTTACCTTGTTCATTTAACAAGTCATGTAATACTTTTCAGTGTATATGCACGTGTACGTGCATGGTTTTGGTAAACAATTGGTTCAATAATCTTACTTCCAATTATTATACTACCACTTAAAAACTCAGAAACAGATAGTATCGTAAACTGCTCCGTGTTCAAAGTGGTGTCTACATATTGACAAAAAGACAATAACTGAGCGTAATCATTATTGTGTGTAATATTAACTGGATTCAATCAGATATCTTTAGTTAGGAAAGATTAAAGTACACATATACAATGTTAAATCACAACGAACTCATCAGCATTTACAGTAAGCTGGATCCATGTACATCAGTAGACAATAAGTCTCCATAGAAAATTAATTAATGTCGTCGAAACATAAAGACAAAATAAATTTTTAAAACGGTAAAAAACATTTTAAAACTAGATAGATTAAAAATTATTAAGAGTTTCAGGTACACGAGGATTGCTGAATTAATAGTGCGCTGACTGCAAAACAATATCATGAGTTGATTTATGTTTGAAATATGAATCACTGGATTTTTGACTCGATGTTCTAAAAGTATGCTGCCAACGGCGAGAATTGGAGGTTTTACGCTCTACCTTATGTTTGGTTATACAGATGTGATGACGAAGAATCACAACATAGACAGTTGTATAACGATACACCTTAATTTCCATTCAATTATGAAAATAAACTTTGGGACAAAAAACTATCCAGTCAAAACAATTTGTTGTCTATAATATGCGAGTGGTAACAACTGAATAATGATTTTTTTACGTCTATTATGATAATAAGTCGTATTTAAATCTATAAAACAGTGTAACTGTCTATAAGACACCTACTGTACTTCAATAGAATATTAAAAAAGGATAAAGTACAGTTCATCTTTTTTGTACTTAGGATAGCATACAGGGTAAAATGGTTAACTAAATCCCATGTAAAGAAAAATTACAACAACTAACCTGTTCTGCACCCATTTCTAATGCAACCAACCCAACAGTGCATGACAGATATTCTAAATTGTCTACTTTGTTACTAGGATCTAATAACTGATGATAGATATTTTCGATGAATAACACACCAGTCTGTGATAAGAAGGCACAAGAAAGAAAGAAATTTAGATGTTACTGTCATCAACATCAACTAAATACATTGATCGTTTAGAGGTAGATGATGCATCGGAGAATTATATATACCAGAACCACAATGATACTATATATATATATATATATATATATATATATATATATATATCGAACAATAAATAACACTAAACAGAAAGTATGCCATCGTGATAAAGAGGGTTCAACTTTATGTATACACTCCGCCCTATTCGATTGTTTGGATATTTGTCTCATGACAAAAATAATTAATTTGGACAGGTCAAACATTTTAGGGTTTCTTCGTCAAACAACAAATGTCGTTTATGAGCTTTAGTTGAAATTTTAGGAAAATCCTTCGTCATTCAGCAGACACTGATTACTAATACTGATTGACAAGATAGGTTTGTGACCTGTTATTACCCTGAGATTAGTAGATTGTAGATACTCATTAGTTGTGATTTCCTACTAGCATAAAATCTACTTCTATAGTTTCACCATGTCGATCGCCTCATACCTAATAATTCGAAGATAATATGCATCGTGATGCCCAGTCACTCCGACCAGTATGATCACATTTCAATTTGATGGATAGGATTAGATGGAGATTACGAGACAAACAACTAAACATCTAAACAACTGTTAAATATAACAGAAAGCAATCGCATATTTGCTTTAATCGAGAATTCATCCATAGTGATGAAAAAATACTTTAAAAGTAAAACTGGCTGCAGAGATGAATCATTGGAATATACGTAATCATAATATATAAAATGTAATTCATGAACCAAGTACGGAATTATATACTCGGCTTTGAGTCACACTTCAGGTGCGAAGTCTATATAATCCGACTACATAAAACCGATTAGGTGGTATGAAGTTTCAACGTGTTGTCTAATGGTTGAATGTAAAGAATTCTTTAATCACCAAGGCATGGCTCAATAAGTTCTAATTAAATGATTGAAGTATAAGCTAACTTACCTACTTTGAACATTATTTTAGTAGTACAAACGGTTGCAAAAAACTTCAAATTAAAGGAATACAGTAATGGATACTTCTTTAACGTGGTAAGATTACATTCATTTTACTACATTGTCGTTTATTTCGATCCTTTCTCAGATTCCAATCATATCATTTTCATTTCTTTCCGATTCATAATTTTAATTCTAATTGGCTGAGTTCGACTGATGTTATTCCTTACTACCGTTATTCTGTGTTTAGTTGCTTCAATACGTAGTTGGGTAAAACTTAGTAGCCCTATGAATTTATCTACCATTTTAATGTTCTGGAATTTTCCAGCTTATATTTTTTATCTGAATCACTTTCTCCTGACCATATCAACTTTCTGGTTGCTTCGCTCTGTCGTGATGATACATATTAAGTTCTAATCAAATTTGCCTGCATAACTATGTAAACCTATGATAATTTTGATTTAGAAATACTATAGGTTGTAAGTGGCTGATGAGTTCCTAACAAAATCAAATGAATTCATGTTATTCTGATCGAATCTTTGTTTTTCCTTTCATTAAAAGGATAGATATTTATATATGAGTTATAGGTATATTTTCAGCTCGGTTAGCAAAAAAAGCTTTCTACTTATTGTTAGATTTCTCAATCAAGTAGTTGCACTGAGTACTCATATAAAAAACGTATTCATCAGTAGTAAACTCGAATGACGGCATAACATAACTGTTAACACCATAGAAAAACAACATATTAAGTGAATGTGCTGTGTTCAACGGTCCGATTCACATATTACCACATACCTAATCCCAGTTAACCACCCATTAAGAAACAGGAGATAAAGTGAATCTTAACTGCCCAAAGCCCAATAGCAATCTTTACATATCAAGGATATTCACGGTTTGTCAAACTAATAGGAAAATTTTGGTAGCCATCTTGGCTATTAATCAGCCCTCATTGTCAACTCATTTTTCATATGACCTTGATATAAAATATTATTCGTCCAACTTTATCCAATTTAGCAAACTGATTAAATTTGGATAGGTGTTGAAATTTTTTGATCTATGACAACTCTTCTGAATGTTTCACATGCATATTTCTATGTCATTAAGGACGTTGGGTGAATGAATAATTGAGGAAATCAATAAAAGCCATGATAATAACTTTTACAGTATACTTTTTGAACCTATACAATGATTCTCTCTAATGGACATTTTAGTATACGATATTCCTTAATGAGTTTTGTCACATATTTCATTTCCATAATTTTTATGAAACGGAAAAAGAATTGTATTTTCTAGATGATCAGATCAACTTGTAAATTAAGAGGATGATTTCAACAAAAATATACCATCTGTTGTGAAGCTTTCAATGTTTTTCCACAGAATGTTAATCAGAACAATGTAAATCTCATGATATATATATAGTAAGAAAATAACGTTTAAACAAACATTTATAAAACAACCTAATCTTTAAATAAAGAAAAACGTTTACCTTTTTCATGAATAAAATATCTTGTCTTTCTGGCTTCTCCAAAATAAAATAATTGCTTAATCCATTCTCACTGTAAATTCTAAAGCAAGAATAAAACACGTAGGAAACAGAAGTAAGAAGAGACAAAAGGGTGTTGCAAATAAAATCAATAAGTAATTTTACTGTGCATTTCAAAATACAAATTTTCAAAATTTTATTTCGCTGGAAAATAATAAATGCATATGTGATTGGTGGAAATAGATGTAATTTAAAATCACGAAGAGGATCCAAGTGACCCAGTAGTCTTGAATTTGCTTGTAATTCGATTACTTACTTACGCCTGTTACTCCTCGTGAAGAAGCATAGGCCACTCACCAGCATTCTCCATCCAACCTTGTCCTGGGCAATCCTTTCCAGTTGTTATCCATCCTTTTCATACCTGCTTCTATTTCCCGACGTCATGTATTCTTTGGCATTCCTCCTTTCTGCTTCTCTTCAGGATTCCAAGTTAGGGCTTGCCTCGTGATGCACTTTGACGATTTGCGTAATGTATGTCCTATCCATTTCCATCGTCTTTTCAGAATTTCTTCTTCAGCTGGAAGTTGGTTTGTTCTCTCCCACAAAAGGCTGATGCTGGTGGTATCCGACCAATGGATGTTGAGTATCTTGCGTAGACAACTATTTATAAATACTTTCACCTTTTTGATGGTGGTTGTTGTAGTTCTCCAAGTTTCAGCTCCTAACAGTAGAACTGCCTTGACATTCCTATTGAAGATTCTCACTTTGTTATTGGTTGAAAGTTGTTTTGAGTTCCATATGTTCTTCAACTGTAGGAATGTTGTCTTTGCTTTGCCAATCCTCGCCTTTACGTCTGCATCTGAACCTCCTTGTTCATCGATGATGCTTCCCAGGTATGTGAAGGATTCTACATCTTCCAGAGTTTCGCCATCAAGAGTGACTGGATTGCTGTTCTCCGTTTTGAATTTGAGGACCTTGGTTTTCCCTTAGTGTATGATGAGGTCTACTGATGCAGAGACTGCAGCTACACTGGCTGTCTATATCTGCATTTGTTCGTGTGTATGCAATAGGAGGGCTAGTTTCCTCGTTGTATCGTAAAGCTGTTTCATATTTCCTTCTCTTGCAGCTTTTTCCACCGTCGTTGCTAGTCCTTCCACGTATTTCTTCTTGTCGGTTCTAATGCTCTTCTTCACTTGCTTGTTCGCTTCTATGTATTCAGCTTGAACTTGGACTTTCTCTGTTCGTGTTCGGCTGTTGTTAATTGTTGTCTTCTTGTTCTTCCTTTCTTTGATCTTGTCCAGTGTTTCTATAGAGATCCATTCCTTATGATGGTGCTTCTTTAGGCCCAGAACCTCCTGACACGTTGAAGTTAATGCATCTTTGATACCTTTCCAGTTTTCCTCTATAGTAGTTTCTTCTTCCTTCAGTATATCCTGTAAGGCTTGGAACCTGTTGTTGAGAGCTATCTTGAATTCATTGAGTTTGTCAGTATCTCGAAGGAAAGCTGTATGGAACCTTTGTAGTGCTGTTTGTCCAGTTCTTCTCTAACTTCAGTTTTAAATTGGCCACAACTAGGTGGTGATCTGAAGCTATGTCAGCTCCTCTCCTGGTTCTCACATCTTCCATAGTCCTTCGAAACTTTTTATTGATGCGAATATGATCTATCTGGTTCTCCGTGGTGTGGTCTGGTGAGATCCATGTAGCTTTGTGTATACGTTTGTGTGGAAATATTGTGCCGCCTATGACCAGTTTGTTGAATGCACACAGATTTGCAAATCTTTCCCCATTTTCGTTTCTCTCTCCCAGTCCATGTCGTCCCATGATATCTTCATATCCGGTGTTGTCTATTCCAACTTTGGCATTTAGATCTCCCATCAGAATGGTGAGGTCCTTTCTGGGCACGTCTCTATGATTGATTGCACCCTGCTTCTTTACCAGGGCTTGGGACCGGCAGTAACTCTAGAAGAGCTACAGGTGGTTAACTGATACTGTTCTGAGAATGAGTGATATCGAAAATTTTACTCGCTGAACCAATTCCAGTTTTGTAAATTTTCTGTGACAAAATTAATTATCCTGTGTAAAAAAATATTATTCTGAACAGGGAGCGTTATTATCCCGTTTGTTCAACGTTAAACAGATAAGTTTCTATACGTTGCCTAAAAAATTTGATGCAGTTACATTGATTGTGATATGGATTGTATTGGTTACGTGGTGAAATGATGTGGTGTGAAATTAAGTTATTATGGATAAGGTTCTTTATCCTCGAGCAGTAAATCGAATTTAGACAACGGTGATTTACATCAATTGTCACAGACAAATACACAATGAAAATCTATACAATATATGTGGTGTTGCTACTTATATTGACAGACATAAGCAGTATGTAGCACCATTCGGAAGTGGAATGCCATGTCAGAAGAAAATTGAATTGAAGAGAACAGGAAAGGAAACAGAAAGCAACTGTAATAACAACAAAATTGAAAAATCATGAGGCATGTAAAGGACAATTGAAGGAAGATGAACAAATAAATTGTTTAATGTATGGTTTTCATGATTTACGAAGGCACTCTGTAATTTTGCATTAAACAATAAATTGGTTTTTTTCCAACGATCTTCGTTCATTACATATATACTTGCTAATGGTAATTAGTGTAGCTTGTTAAATGAGCATAGCATTTCGCATCTACTTATCACTCAAGCTTTACCAATGAGAGCTAGTGATGTTACCAAGAGCCAATCAAAAAATAAAGTGGGTGAGAAATATTCTGTAAAGACGATCGTAACTGTTGGGACGACTATTCACTAACGTTGATAGATTAACAGTACTTGCTAATAAAGAACTTAAGAAAGAAGGAAATGGTGTGAACTACAAACGAGAACAACGTAAGATAATATAGATGTTGTTTTATGTAGTTGAAAGATATACGAATTAATAAATCATGATAACGAATAAAAAATAGACGAACACCATCAACATAGAGCGCGGCTCAGAGGTTCTTTGGAACATATTACAAACCTCATTAAACGGCGATATAAAAATAATGAAAGGAAACGAAATAATGTGACAAAAAGGAAGACTAAATATTGAGAATATGGTTTGAAAAAAACAAGGTGGAGAGGCAGGGATAAAGGAATACAGGAATTTAAGACCGAGAGAAGATAAGGAGTAAATCCATCTGGGTTATCGTGAGCGATTCTGAGACATGTCCAACAAAGTCACCAAGTATTTATTGCGGCCATCTCGCGGACCCTAGCCAAGTAGTACCTATTTACCAGCATGGATTAGACCAACAATTAACGACTTCGTAGACAGAAGCCACGTTTTGATTCGGCTTTGCTAGCTTTATTTATTTATTTAAACACATGAACATTGGTACAAGGAGGTACCAAACAGATATACGCCACGTAAATCATTCGATTAATGTGAGGGCTAATTGCCCAAATTGAAGCAGGTGGTTTCCTTAATGGTTCACACCCCGAGCCTTCGACCAAAAGGTTTAATCTACAAGGCAGTGGAGCAATGTAAGGAGATACAGTCCCATGGTAGCCGGTGACCAACGATTGGTTCGTACACTATTTGTTCCCTCAGAATCTTGGAGCCCATGTGCACCAATGGTTTGGAGTCGGGCTCTTTGTGTCCACCTCTCTAGCTTCCTTCCAACGTACTTCTGATGGATGAGAAAATCTCTACAGAAACAGACAGTGGCATGTTTGATTTTTTGATAATGTATACCATCTACAGCACAAACCAGTTATCTAAATATCGACTATGGTGAAATGTACAGAAGCGCACTTTGTCCAACTGTAAAATTACTTTGATTGTTTATCAGAAAAGGATATCTAATGAATGTACTGAACGCATTACATGTACTTCTGAGGTTAGACATTCAGCGTTGAAATAATTGAAACAAATATTAGATCTGCATAATCTTAAGCCATTTCGACGTGACATGCTAGTTGAAGCCGAATCGAATAAATGCAACGTTGATGTGAATAAGACTTGATGTTAATTCATGAAGTGACTATCTGCTGAACTGAGCCTAGTACGAAATTTCATAATCTGGATTGTTAATAACAGTTGAAAATGACAGTTTGAAATATTTCCACATTAATTTTGATGCAACTCATTTTATTTCCATTTTGGACCACAAATATTTTATTATTCTGTATTTGTTTATTTCTTATTTCAAATAGTTTCGAAACTGTTAATATGTCATGTTTACCTCTGTTAATGTGTATATATCTAGTATGGAGTATCAAAAACACTAAGCACATAAACTATGATAACAACAAAATTAACAATAGTAGCACTTTTAATAACATTCGACTCACCGAACAGTCAACAACTGTTCCGTATTCCCATGTCGGTCAATTAAAGTATGTAGTATTTTTTGTACAATTATTCGTATGACGGGATCTGGATCAATAGCGACACCACGTAATAAAAGATTTAGAAAGTCCGAATTCAATGCGTTCGATATAGCCACTGTTTTATATTGTGTGGCGACAGTTAGCATAGTTTGTAATAGACCATAATTAACGGTTTCGGACGATCACCATACTCTGGATGATAACTGTTTAAAGAAAAGGAATAATCAAAGTACAATTGTTAAAGAGAAACTGAAATCCGAGACAACAATCAGTTATAATCAATGCAGGCCCTGTCAAAATGTGCGTTAGCTTAAGTTGCCCTACTACAATAACGGGATAAAACGTAATATGACATCAAAGTAGAAAAAAGAATAGTCCGATTTCGGCAATAGCATCAATATTAATAACTTTTAAGCGACACAGCTCATACCTTATATGGTGTATAAATCAAATAACTAAAAGAAAATAACTGGTAATCATTTCATTGTTTCTAAGAGCAATATTATTTAATATCTCATGCATGAGGCATATTTCCCAAATACATAAAATTGCGAATCCAAATATCTTCATAAACAAGAAAAGCCATTACAAAAGCGAACTGAAATACTCGTTATGTGTACAACGAAAAGCGTATCAATTATTCTGAATAACATTTCACATTAGTTTCTGATCACTAACTGAAAAATTTAGTTAGATTCAAATGTAGAATTATTTTAGAAAAGTAGTGATCAACTTTTTAGAGTTATTTAGAGACTTCACTTCATCTGTGTTACATATATTTGAGTGCCGAATACTAGAGACATTGAAATCCTAGCCACCTCTTAGATTCCAACAACTTGGCGAAATTTGTACATTGGGTAAAAAGAATGTGATAATACAAAAAGCTTAAGTAAGTTTAAGTGTAGATAAAAAAATATTGGTACGTAAAGGTCTACTCAATGGTACCTAATTGAATTGTAAGGTCATTCTCCCATCTAAAGTAAATTCTTTAAACAACCTGAGAACCAATTCATTTCCCTTTTCCTGAGACCACTGTAGAAGGGAAAAGTAATTTTTTCTTCAACTTTAGAATGAAAATTTTTTTGAGTTCTGTTATACAGCTTGTGCTGTTGCTGTAATAGTTACGTCATTCCCTCAATTTAAGTATATTGGTTTATTTCTCTCTTTATATTTTCTCCTATCCCATTGAGCCTACACCTTATAAAATTCGTTTCTATAGTGTTCACACAATGTATAAATCACATAAATTTCCAGATACCGAATCTAAAGTCAGAATAATAGAAAGTAAGATTCATAGTCATAAGTTTCTCACAATTTTTATTCATGATTATACAAGTAAAATATAATTACACATGGACATGCGAGACAATTTACAGATTTCAGTTAGTTTACATATGAGATCATTTTAATATAACAACAAAATAGTCCATTCATACTTTAGCGGTTGTTTATTTTAGATTGCCAGTTATAATGACTCAAAAAAGATTCTATTACCTAGAAAATTCCCATTACTTACTAACCTACACCTGTTGCCCCTCGTGGAGGAGCATATGTTACCCACCAGAATTCTCTATCGAACCCTGCATTAAACGATCCATTCTAGCTGTTCCCAGTTGCTATTCATCCCTTTTATGTCGGCTTCAAATTCTCGAGACCCAGTGTGTTCTTTATTCTTCTACTCTTCCGTTTCCATTCAGAATTCCAAGTTGGCGCTTGCTTCGAGGTGCAGTTTGATTACTTCCTCCATGTTTGTCCTTTCTAATTCCAGAGTCTTTTCTTAATCTCTTCTTCGGCTGAAAGCTGGCTTGTCCTCTCCCACAGTACGCTGTTGCTGATGGTATCCAATCAACGAACATTGAGTATCTTACGTAGGCAATTGTTCATAAATACTTGTATCTTTTAGATGATGGTTGTGGTAGTTCTTGAAGTTTTATCTCCGCAGAGTAGAACTGTCTCGATGTTCGTATTAAAGATCTTAGCTTTGATGTAAACTGACAGCTGTTTTAAGTTTCATATGCTTTTCAACTGCAGAAATGTCACCCTTTGACAATCATCGCCTTTACATCTGCATCACATGCACATAGTGACGAATTCCACTCAACGGATTACTCAATAATGATCCTGATGGTCGCGATTTGGTACACGATCGATCCTGATGGCATCTAGCTCGTTGATATCAAAGTTAGGCATCCACTGAATCTTTCATTCGGTTCAACAACCCTCTGTTGAAAGCTTTTCCTGGTACCGATAATAGTGTGATGCCTCTGTAGTTCTCATATTTGCTCAGATCTCCTTTCTTCGGTAGTTTGAAAAGATATCCTTCTTTCTAATCTGTCGGCACTTATTTCCCATTCACAATCTTCCTGAATAGAATGTGGAGCATATTTGAAGTTAATTCTATGCGTGACTTCAGTGCACCAGCTGGTATGTCGTCTGGTCTGGTTGGCTTCCCACTCTTGATTGGTCCAATGGCAATACTGATTTTCATGATCGTTTGTGGAGTGAGATTCATATGAATGTCCGTAAGTGCCACCTCGATATCTTGTGGATTAGGCGAAGTTGGTCTTTTCGATAATTGTTCAAAGTGTTCTACCCATCAGTTCCTCTGTTCATGAATCTCATTGACAGGCTTGACTCCTTTGTATTCGAAAGGTCTCTCTGGTTTACGATATTTCCATACCAGCTTCTTCGTTGTGTCATATAGTTGTTTATGTTTCCTCCTCTTCGAACGTCATTGCTAGGTCTCCATATCAGCGTGCACGTTCGGTTCCCTCTCTTTTCTCTTGTTCGACTGTTGTTGATTGCTGTATTCTTGTTCTTCCTTTCTTGAATTTTGTCCAGGTTCTTGATAGAAATCGATTCCTTATGATGATGCTTCTTGAATCCCAGAACCTCCTGACACATTGGAGTTAGTACTCCTTTGATCCCTTTCCAGTTGTCATCCATTGTAGTTTCCTCTTCTTCCAGTAGATCTTGTAAGGCTTGGAACCTGTTATTGAGAGCTATCTTGAATTCGTTGAGTCTGTCAGTATCTCGAAGGAGGGCTGCATCAAACCTTTGTAATCCTATTTTTCTAGTTGTCCAGTGCTTCTTTAGCTTTAGTTTCATCTTCGGAACTACCAGGTGATGATCTGAAGCTGTATCAGCTCCTTTTCTGGTTCTCTCGTCTTCCATTGACCTTGTGAATATTTTAATGATGCAAATATGACCGATCCAGTTCTTTGTAGTGTGATCCAGTGAAACTCATGTAGCTTTGTGCATGCGTTTGTGAGGGAATATTGTACAGCCTATAACCATTTTGTTGAAGGTACATAAATTTACAAATCTGTCACCATTTTCGCTCCCTTCTCTCAGTCCATGTCGTGACCAGAGTACAGCAGCATCTCTCCCGAATCTATCCTTTTCTGTCCAGCTTGGGTCTAATGTATTTCATTGATTCTGAGCACCACCAAGTTTTATCTCTTCATTTCCGTAGCTATTTGATCAGTCCTCTCAGTCTCCTACATTGTCCGAACATTCTATGTACCTACATTAATTGTTGCTCTGGTGGTCAGAAGGGGAATCGGTCTCGTGATTTTCGAAAAATCTCGGCTTTCTTCTGAATGAAGGTCCTTCAACTCTCAGGACAGAGTTTAAACAGTTTACATTGTTTTTCCTAACTAGAGTTCTTTAAATAATGTCGTTTTCTACGGGATGTGGTTGCTAACCATATGCACAACCCTTCTCTTTCAACCAGGCTTGAAACCGGCAGTAACCGTGAAGTTCTATAAAAGGTGTAAACCAAATAACAACACTATTAACCATTAAACCTACGAGTCGAATCCGATTCCAAACTTTTTTGGGTTTCTTCACAATGTGACTGAAAGTTAAATACTTAAACATAAACTTAATAAATGAGTTGGGTTTCAAACGTCTAATGTATTTTCCCCATTACACTAATATCCACTGAAATCCTGAAAATATAAAAGCACTGGATATAAATTCATTAGATCAATCGCATTGTGTTAACATGAAGAACTATCCTGTACAAGTTCCTGTGTTGTTTACATAGATTAAAAGATCTAAATTACAGCAGCAGAACTATACATTACTCTTCAGTTTTTAATAGTTATCCAACTGAATTCATAGTTGATGGTAAAATATAATTTTGACCTATACAAAATCACTAGAAATAACCACGTAGCATTACATTAAAATCCAAAGCCTGGTTGTGAAAATGTCACTTGTACACAAACAAATATAAAAAAATCAGTTCATTTTCAATTATGTAACTAAAACAAAAAGAAAACGATAATCACCACAAAGAATGACCTATTATGACTTGGCATCATCCTCTTTGTTTAGAAGTTCCATTCAAGCATATATATATAGCTTTGTGATCGATATAGTTTACAATAAGATAATGATTATTTATCACACACAAAAAAGAAACGAAAAATGGATTGAATCATATAACACACCAAATGATTTGGTATTTGTTAGTTCACTTTTCAGTATATAAAGCACAATGCAATATTTAACATGATTATTATTTAAAATTTTTCGAACTGAAATAATGCCTAAGGATTTTCAAAGACTTGAATAGTATGTTAAGGCTATGGTATGTATAATATACATTCTAAACGAATCATATTATATATATACAACCACCGCATATTTCAAACTGAAACCCTGACTCTTGCAATAAAATGTTGGAAGACAGATAGGGATCACCAGAACAATATCTGGCACCAGTAGATGAACTTATCAACTATTGAATTGAGCCGTGTTGATAGATAAACATTCTCTATTAGAGGTCTTGATGATTTTTTTAAACAGTGGTGTGAGAGGGTGGATGGCATGTCCCACTCTTTGTTTTCCCTTAGATTTTGAGTTTCAAAATTATCTTATACTTTGTATTCGACGAGTCAATTCTTTCTATTCGAATCGTATTGTCGATCTCCAATCTTTTCACTATCTCTGATACTGTTACTACTCCTACTAATGTGGTGTATTTCATGAATTTCATTTCGCTGTGTTAATATGATGTGACAAATTTAACCGATGCATATATATATATATATATATATATATATATATATATATATATATATATATTATATATTTATATATATATATTCTAGATTTACTGCATTAGCTATTCAGTGTTTAATAACAGTAAAAAAGTACAGTACAGTGTGACTATACAGTATGATACAGACACATAAACCCGGTTTATTAAAAAAAAAAATTAAAAAAAACCAACAGAAATAGAAAAACGGCAGATTCAATATTGGGACTGTTTATATACTTACTTAACCATTGGCTCAAAATTCAATATGAATTTCAATATTTCTATTTTTGCGTGTCTGGAAGATTTTTAGCAAATTCGGCTATAGTATTGATAATTGCCTCTTGAAACTGACGTTCACCAGATAATTTTCGATTGGAATCATTAAATGAAGGTTGTTCGGGATCAGATATTGTGAAGTTTTATCAATACTGGCTTTTAAGATCTAAAAGTTTCGGCGTAGATTGGAAAAACAGTAATTAAACAAATAAGACAAGTCAGTAATACGTATATTTAGAGACAACCTTTAAAATTTTCACAATAGGTATTCAAAGACTTGTGAAATAGACAATATAAGAAACTGGTAAAGTTTTGAATCCCCAAATAAAGTAGTTATTGTTAATAAATCATATAGTAGTGATATTGCTTAATTCCGTAACAAATCTGTGTACATAGATATAAGCCAGGCATTTTTGTATCGGGACTGATTAGATTAACTTCCTGCTTGCATCAAAGAAGGTTGAAGAACTTTTGAAAATGTGACTACGAAGAAGAATGTTGATAGCCCTACGTACTAAGACAATGATTGAAATAAACATTTCTGAATGTGGTGCTGATTTTTCCTGTAATATTTCCTTACCTTAGTAAATCTTGATTAAGTAATCATTCAAAACTATGTATATCTTCACATCAAATATGACTAATGAAACGGATCGAACATGCTTAACTTATATTCTACTATAATTATGGCATCACTAACCAGTTAAATTTTACATTTATTGACAGAAATCAAAAAGCAATGAGATAAAGGGTGTGGGTGTACAGTAAATTGGATTTATTGTTTCAATAACATCGTGCACAAAACAAAGATACAACTCCTTATTTCATATGTTTACAACATCAACGCTACAGTGGTGATAAACCTCTATCCACCACAAATTTTTGGTGTCCGTTGATCTTCACTGGTTCACCAATAGTTGACATCAGTACTCGTTTGAAACCAAACATGAAACTATTTTCTATCACAAAAATACTAAGTATAAAATGTTAACTACTAATAAGTAACTCGATTCAATAATATAAATATGTACAACTGGCACAGTTTAAGAGTATATGAATAATGACATAAATAATAAGTCCAAACTATATAAAGTAATGCTACTTTTACTAACATTCTCAAGCAATATTTTGATTAGATTGTATGAACAAAATGTGTATATATTCAAACCACTATCATATATACAGATCAAATGCCCCAATCTACCTAAACTAAGAGAGATAATGTAATTATACCTAGAATTTCAAAGACGAGACCTGAATACTTAAGTAATTGAGCAATAAATTCACAATTTTCACAGAATGAAACTTTTAGAAGGATATAATTGTAACAGTAGTATTTCCAGATCTATCTATATTGATTGGTTTCCTCTTAACCAAACAATGATAATCGACGAGACAAGAAAACATGAAAAGTTTATCATGCAGATTCTATTCAAACTCTTGTTTTTATCACTGTACATTGGTGCCGTAGCTGTTTAGGATGCATATGTTGTCTATTAGCATGCCCAAGTCTTTATTTGCGTTAAATCTAGCGAACTGTAGTGGTGAAAGTGTACTAGACAATGAAGAATGTAACAACAATTAATTCAATGTATATTATTATCCCGTAATAATTACGTTGGTGCTGTGGTCTGTGGACTGTGTAGTTTAGTTATGAAGGTTTTATTGTTCTTTAGGACAAAATCGTCATCTTATACCCTTTAAAGCATGTAATAATAACGTTATTTAAAAAAAGACAATCAAAGCTTCATAATTAAACTAACTAATTCACAGCCGATAACATTTCCAACATCCTCATACTGATCTGTAAATATTCTTAATCTGATAATACTTATACTGTCTACTGTAATTATATGACAAATAATAGGAAAAACGGCAATGATAGGAAAATAATCACAGCTATTTACTACATATGTACTACAGTCTGTACATAAAATCCAATTGAGAGAAAAAAACAAATGAAAATTATTTATTCATTATTCCATTACTGTAATTGCATTTTCTTAAACCAAGCACGATGAAAAACTCAGTATAAATTTTTTATTTATATTCATATAAGTAAATCCGGCAACTGTATCCTCTTTGCCACACAAGTTTATATATATATATATATATATATATATATATTGAAGCCCAAAAACTATGGATGAAATAGTTATTTAGTGCTACTTCATTACTAAACAATTATCATGGAATGATGTTAGTTCATCATAATGAAAACGAATGAATTGACTAAAACATTTTACTCAGATAAAATGTGAATTGTATTATTCGACACAAATCTATTTAATCTTCGTTGTGTCCAAAATTTAACAACATTCAGAGCAGATAATAGTACAGTTATCTTTTCTGTTTGTTTACATTTTATCAATTCATTATTTTTTTTCATTGAAGTGAATTAGATTTTATTGTTATTATTGACCGATTTAGGATGATTATCACCATTCTATTGCTTTCGTTTTCACTTATTCTTACCAATCACTACCTTGTAGATGAATATTAATAAAATAAACGAACTACTTCCAGAGTTTACATATAATAAGTGATATTGATGTGTTAAGTGATGTAATCAATTAGTCACCAATGTTAAATACAGCTTGATACGTTTGATCAAGTGAGAAAAGATGGCACTTAGCGGTAAACACAGTTACCTTTTCGTTGTCTCACCACCACTTTAAAATCAAATACAACTAATTCAACAAGCACCAAATTGATTTTAAAGACAACGAATTTGGTTTTGGTATGTAAGTTCTATAGCTTTATACAGCTGAATTATGATTTAAAGTTGGGTACATTAGCATATACAAAGGTAAACAAGTAACATTACTATAAATATTACCCTGTGCTTTATTGATTCCAGACAGATTAGAACTAAAGTGCTTGAAATTTAGTCCGAATCACAGATTTGACATAAAAATTCTGCACCTAGCTGTCAAAAAAAGCCTTTTGAATGAATCCCTGACTAACAGAACCTCTTGTCGTATTCGTAGAAAACAAATAAATTATAATTATGGGCGAATAATAGGAAAATATATGATAATTACTATTAATTTACTTAAACACAAAAATATTGCTATAAGAGGACACCAAATACATATGCGACACACAAGTCACATGAATGTGTGTGGGCTGTGATACTGCCCAAGTGCCCAGACCGAAGCAGGTGGTCTCCTTAAGGGGTCACACCCCGAGCCTTCGGCCTAAAGGTCTAATCCACAAGGCAGTGGAGCAACGTAAGGAGATACAATCCCATGGTAGCCAGGGACCAACGATTGGTTCATAAACCATTTGTTCCTCAGGATCCTGGAGCCCATGTGCACCATTGGTTTGGAATCAGGGTTTTGTAACTCCCTTAGTTGGATCCTCCATATTCATCAACCCGGTTAAAGTGCCGGACATTCACTTTTCGTCCTCTCAATTTCGTAAACAACACCCACACCACGAGAAGGGAATGAGTGGGACTTCCCTGTCAGTGGCTTTATACACGTGACCATGTGAGAGCATTCGGAGAGGGAGAGCGAACTCTTTCCACTCTCGGCCGTACCAGGGCATTTGTGTGGTTCAAGGATTATTTCAACGAAACTATATGAACTTAAAATTCTATAAAAACGTAATCACTTTTTATTCATAAGTCCGAACAAATTAGGAAACAAAACTCCCTGATATACTGTGAAATAATGCTCATAGACACAACACAATCGACACTACAACACTAAAACAGTTATAAGTATTTTAATTTAGTGTGGTCTGATTGCCGTTCGAACTGTATGCTTTTACAGAATAGATTGACTATGAAAGAAAGTGGGAATCAGGATGGAGGTTTCGTACTGTTTGGTACTTGTCATCCGGATGCACTTGTATTTTAGTGTTTTTTTATATTGACACTCAAACCTAGTGTTTTTCGCTGGAAACGGCCAAAACGTTATCCATCTACATAGTCACTAGCGTATTTAATATATACGGCTAAATCGCTTACATCAATGCTTTTTTTAATTCTGTGTATATCACCATTCTATATTCCTAGTGAGTATGTCTTTTTTTCCTGAGAAATGTATTTCTCACTCTCAAGAAGAAGGTATCTAATCAGTTTATTAACTTCGAAACAGTCATAGACAATACCATTTATCTAAAATATTACAAACACAAAAATACAGAGGAAAAAAGGAGTGACTTACTTGAAGTAATGATTTGAAATTATGAAATACATCTGGTCCGATTGCTCCCTTTGCTAAACTAATTACAACTAGTCCGATAACCTGTAGATTTTGAATTTCAAAAAAGAAACAGATGATAACTCATATGTTACAGAAAGGTGAGTTTGACTGATCAAATTTCAACTGATAAACTATAGATAAATATATGGATAGATATCTACTGACATTCAATCAATCAAGTCTTAATTTATTGGTGACAGAGTGACCCATAAAGTGGATATCCTCCAATCATTTACGATATTTAATCGCGTTTACTTTTTCGTTAATAATTTGTGTAAGAGCATGTCATTTTATTTTTTTTAAACTATTATTCTAGGTAATATTCTTGTTTTTAGTATCAGTTCATTCAATTGTTTTGAGTCGACAAACTAGTTCCGTGAGTAGCCATAAACAGACCTTTTTGTATTACTGCTAAGTTTGGAGAGATTATGATATCACCAAAACAGGCTAATGGAACGAAAGTTAGTAACACAACAACAGGACAGGTTACAGTATTCACTGCACTCCAGCCCTGCTGGCTAGAGGGAGAAGACCAGATTGAACCGAGGGAAATGTATATTCTTCAAGCGGTCGGAAACACGAGCGAACAAGCATACAAACAAAACGTACGCATACAGCACAAAAATGACCTTGGAAAACGTCATAAAATAGCGTATTGAAAGAGAAGACGAACCAAGAACAGTTAATATCCTTTCAAGTGGGCGCTTTTGATGCGAAAATAAGAAATTCAAATTCTCGAAATAAAATTACAAAAATAAAACGTTTACCAAGTGATTTATGGGGATCTAGCATCCGCAACAAATACTGCATTCATCTATCGGTCAACATTCGTTTCATTTATTTTAGCAATCATAAACCCGTTAATTAAATCTGTTGTGGAGATCCAGAAAATTACTCGAAAAAAGTCCAAAGGGGCCCTGAAAACACTGGGAAACATTTTGTCCAGTCAGCATTGAACAGAAGTGTCTCGGAGAAATCTAAGAAGTGGGGAGTCACGTGTCACATTTCCGACTGGATGATTACATATTCTACTACTATGTTTAGTAGGGTCCAGAGGCCCAAGGTCTTCTAAAAAGCTATGACTACCCTAAATTTTCTGTACACCAACTAACTTTAGAGTGAAGCGTTCACCACATATCTCGAGCCTTTTCTATCAAATTCACGTTACCGTTTAGATCTGGCCTGTGGGTTAATAGAAGAGCTTAGGAAACCGTATCAAGCATTCAGTCGGAAGATTTATCACAATCCTAAAATCATCCTACATAACAATTTATAAGGCCTAATGAATCCAGTCGTTATGGTAACACTGTACCTAGTTTAAATAAGTATAATCCTAAACTAACAGAAACGAGAAATCAACTTAGAACAAAGTTCACGTTTCTGATTATGAAATGGAGGAATACGAGTTAAAAGTAATAACAATAAAGCAAGCATATATTCGAAGTTTATAAGCTTCTAACCAAGAATTCCAAAAATCTAGCAGCTATTTGGTAATATGCGAAGAAACAACAACTTATTTGAAGAACATGATATTTAAAATAAAATTAGAAACACCGAAGATTACTGTAGGAAATGGAATCGATGATAAATGTATTAATAGGGTCAGCAACCACATCCCGTAGAAAACGACATTATTTAAAGAACTCTAGTTAGGAAAAACAATGTAAACTGTTTAAACTCTGTCCTGAGAGTTGAAGGACCTTCATTCAGAAGAAAGCCGAGATTTTTCGAAAATCACGAGACCGATTCCCCTTCTGACCACCAGAGCAACAATTAATGTAGGTACATAGAATGTTCGGACAATGTAGGAGACTGAGAGGACTGATCAAATAGCTACGGAAATGAAGAGATAAAACTTGGTGGTGCTCAGAATCAATGAAATACATTAGACCCAAGCTGGACAGAAAAGGATAGATTCGGGAGAGATGCTGCTGTACTCTGGTCACGACATGGACTGAGAGAAGGGAGCGAAAATGGTGACAGATTTGTAAATTTATGTACCTTCAACAAAATGGTTATAGGCTGTACAATATTCCCTCACAAACGCATGCACAAAGCTACATGAGTTTCACTGGATCACACTACAAAGAACTGGATCGGTCATATTTGCATCATTAAAATATTCACAAGGTCAATGGAAGACGAGAGAACCAGAAAAGGAGCTGATACAGCTTCAGATCATCACCTGGTAGTTCCGAAGATGAAACTAAAGCTAAAGAAGCACTGGACAACTAGAAAAATAGGATTACAAAGGTTTGATGCAGCCCTCCTTCGAGATACTGACAGACTCAACGAATTCAAGATAGCTCTCAATAACAGGTTCCAAGCCTTACAAGATCTACTGGAAGAAGAGGAAACTACAATGGATGACAACTGGAAAGGGATCAAAGGAGTACTAACTCCAATGTGTCAGGAGGTTCTGGGATTCAAGAAGCATCATCATAAGGAATCGATTTCTATCAAGAACCTGGACAAAATTCAAGAAAGGAAGAACAAGAATACAGCAATCAACAACAGTCGAACAAGAGAAAAGAGAGAGTCAATGAAATAGTCAAAAGGATAAATTAGACTTGCGTATATTGTTTATATCTCTTAGTGTTTTACCTGAACTAAACTTGTACGTTCAGACAATGTGAAGTCGGATTCATGTAAGCTGAGATGAGCAACTAATTGTTTGACTAAACTGTGCGCCACCTGAGTTGTCTAAATAAAAATAGAAAACAGAGGCAAGAAACAGACAAACAAATATAAACTAATGAATAATTTGTATTAATTTTGTTTGAAAATATTAAAGTAATTTGACAATGGCTTTCAGTATACGACTAATTGTTATGATTCGAAAAATAAGTGAAGAGAAAATAACTTCGAAAAATCAAACAGTTACTTTTTATGGTTTGTCCGAAAATCCCCATTTTATGAAAACAGAGAAATATAAATGTTTATTAGGTTCTGCATCTATAAATAAAGGATACCCAATTTTAAGGCAACCACATATTTGTGAGAATTACAGCGAACGAATATAGGATTGTTGGTAAAATAAAATAAAATCCCTAGTGTTGAAATATCCATCATTCAATGCTAACTTAAACAAGTTTATGGGTCAATTGAATTTGTGAAATTAACAATTAGAATAAATATGGATAACATGAGGTCAGAGAAACAGTAATGTAATAACAAACCAAACTAAATGTTTGGTGAAAGATTTTATAATGTGTAGTGATAAGAATTCAGTAAGGAATAGTAAGATAACGTGAGTGCTACTTAACTTCACGTATTTACAAGACTTAAGTACAAAAATTATTTAAGTTAACATTGCATGATAGCCGTCCCAACAATAACAATTTCAGTTTATTTTAGTAAACTTCTTAAGCCCCCATCTTGTTACTTTTACGATGGTAGAATGAGCCTTAAAGTTGGTGATCCCTTATGAGCTTGATGAAAACATGTAAATAAGACTAATCTTCAAAATCAATATTTCACTGAGCTCACAGAAAAATAATGAATAAGTTGGTATTACATGAAAATGACGATTATTAGTGATAAATCATGAACCAATCAATGTTAGACTACCATTTGAAACCTGGAAGCGTACAGGATCATGGATGAGCATTGATTAGGAGTCTCATACTTGAATTAAACGGCCATCCAGCGCTACCAGGTTTTCCATAATGGTTTAACATTGACCAGTTCATGATCTCAGTTAGAACTCAGACGATCTTATACTGATAATAATAAATCAAGTGATGAAAAAAGTACACATATTTAATATGCCAAATGAAAACATGTATAGTATTGTAGAAGCCTATAAGCGAAAATTTCACTCAATTATTCACTATCTTAAACTTTTAAAAAAAGGAAGCCAATTATAACATGTAGGAAGAATATGTAAATGACTAACTACAATTACCATAACAACCTTCGCCACGATGAGATCCGAAGAAAAAACATGAGTAGAATGGTAGTAATATGAAGACAATAAAAAACAATCGGATAATCAATCTTCAAACATATCACCTATGATCAGATCAATATCAAAGTAGAATGTCAAAATCATTTAGTATATGATTGAGTCTTGAACTGGGAATAGCTTGATGGATCGTTGAAATTATTTAAATTTCAGTAAACTTTCATCATTTACACTTAAACAGTAAACATGGCTAATCGTGTGTTAAACAAGTGAACAACTTAAACTGTTTTAGTAGCATAAGAGATACAAAATAACGCAGGCGTGAAAAGAATCAAGTGAATTTTGATTGGCTGGAAAGATGATATTTCCATCTTATTAGTTAACCTTACTCCGAATAATCTCGATCGAATGAAAACAGACATACATAATTGTAGTGTATTAGCTAATTAGTTTACTGTGAATGGGATGAAATCTAATGTATTGGTTTGATGTCAGTGAAACCTATGTTATTATTACTATGTTCTCATTTTATGCAATCGATCATCACATGAACAATAAGTAAATGGAAACTAAAATCAAATTGTTTCATAAAGGAGAGTAGGCAATTCAGTTTATCATTTCATAGTTTAATTTTCAATTTTATCTGATGTATGTTGGAGAAAAACGATAAGTGGAAAAGATATTACCTTCTGAAACTTGATAAATGTTCACTAAACTCATTGTTCATATAGTCAACTTTTAGAAATAAAATAGATGCCAATCGACCCTTCTTTCTTCATATGAATTTAGTAAATAACTTATAATGTGTGGTCAAGAGTTTCAGTAAAAATCACATTAACATCGATTAAATATACACTGAGAAATTTTTTTACATAACAGAAAAGGAAGAAATATAGATTTGCTCTCTCACTCCCCGTAAATTTACACATATTTCGTTTATTGCAATTCGTTGTTTTTTCTACCACTAAACTGCATGAGTTCACTTTATCTACTTCAGTCTGGATAACCGAATATTATATCATTAGCTCTCATACAGTGCGTCTCATAATCGAGTATACTGACTTGTGTTTGATAAATAAATTACACTAATATTTATGGATATATGAGAAAATAATCAACTGATTTGATACTCGTGAGTAAATAGATCACAGTAGGAAAATTGTTGAGAACTAAGGAGAACATGACAACCTTTTCCCCCTAGTTTGTCACTCCTTAGCTATCCACACCTACAACCCAACATAAGATGGAGCCCATGATCTTCGTTTACCACGGCGAATAATGACATTTGTAGTGTATTGAAGAATACGAAACCAGGACGAAACAGATTTTCCTGTCCGTATGACGTCAGTGAGTCGTAAGTAAATGTATGCCAGCTAACATAGTTACGTAATGAATATTTTCCTTCCAGTAAAAATTAATTGTATCGGTAATCTAAGCAGTGAATTCATCTTTAAATTTACTTTAGTCATCACTATACACATACAAGCATGCTTGAAACAATTCTTGTTTATTTAAAACTGAATAGTAATAACAATAGTGTGATTATACTGATAATTTAAACTTTAATATTTTGCAGCGATAGAATTATAGAAAAAATGAACAGGTTTCACAACTTATCAGTCAGTAATGATTATTGGAAGCTTGAGGCTCGTGTTAAGTGAACCTTTTTTAATTTTTTGGAATTATCAGCAATGTTTTGACGGATAGATAGTGTAAGCCAATTTTATAATTCATATGAATACCTTTGAATAGTTTAACTTTAAAAGTCAATCAATACGCAAGGTACACACTACTGCCACTTACTTCAATTACTATAAGCTTAACTTTTTTAAATGATGATGAACTAATGTATCAAATAAAACAAACACGTAATGAATCCAGGGACCTTCGAACCCTCCCCCTTAATTCGATCCACGAGACCAGGTAGTGATAATCTCTTATGATGTAGCTCGAAGACGAAAACATTAATCTACATATGGTAAATTAGTTACATTGGCTAATCAATATGAAAGGGTAGGATAATGACTAAGTGTATCTGGGCCACTATTACTGATTTTTTAAAGGGAACGTAACTCAATATCAACCTTATTCTCAGTGGTTCGTCAACCGATGTTAATACAAGAAAAAATTGTTAAAAACCACCATAAAACCGCTTGAATATGTGAATGACCTCCATTATTTTTATAATTAATTGAACAGAAGAACACATGCCGATACAAATGCATATATATATATATATATATATATATATATATATATATATATATATATATATATATATATATATATATATATAGACATCTGAGAATTCGTGAGATGGTAACAAACAAGAAGACAAATGATAGAAGAGAAATGAAAAATAAGGTATCATCCGATTATAAAATGAACATATTCTATAAATTTCTTGATATTGATTGGAATAGAGTCAAAAGAAATGAAAGAAAGGCATCGATTCTGAAAACTATTCTGATAGAAACAAATATGACTGATAAAGCAAAAATGTTCTATATGAAAGATAATCAATTATAAGCACATACAAGAGTGTTTATAACGGTAGCCTGATACCTAAAGAACTTGATTTTTAACTACTTGTTCATAGGTTCAATCAAACCTCATTCCATCAATTTCAGTTGAGAAAATCGAGCGTATCACTAGCCCCCACAGAAATATAATAAGTCAAAGCCGAGTACATAGTATAGACCTGTACTTAGTGATAAATATCAAATTATTTAAAACCATGAAAGAAAACATTTTTAGGACGCTAAGATGCGTCGTCTCCTCATATCAAATCACATGAAAAGTCAATTAAGAACAGTATACCATCATGTTATGAAAATGAGTGATGAACGTATTAAATGTTCACTTCTTTCTAAGTTCTACGTAACACGTAAATCGATGCGATTTCATATTAGTTTATTTGTTTACATTACGGTTAAACAAATAACCTCATCAATTCATTAAACAATAGGCGAGCAAATGAAGTAAAAATGCTAAAATGAGTGAAGATTTATACTGTTGAATTTCTCATATAGTTGTCACATAATTTCATCTCGCTATACTTCGACGAATTTACTCATAAAACTTTTGTACATTATGATAAATTTCCGATAAAAACAGTTATGGTTATGAGGAAAATTCAGTAAAAAACCTTTCGTGTGAATCTATTATCACTCAGATAAATGATATTCAGATGGAAAACCGATAATAAGCCAAGAAAAACTATTAAAAATTAGAGAACAAAGAGTTTTACGTATGTCATTACTTCTGAGGTGAGATACTTTCGATTTATATAGACTCTGTGATCATCAACTGAAAATTGGCTTCTAAATCATAAAGTTATTATTGACTTGGCCTTATAGTTTAGTTACACCTGATTAGTTTATGAAGCGGTGTTTAAGATCAAACTCTACTTCGTCTAATTTGGTTTGGAAATCCACGCTAATAAAACCAGTTCCCGACCTTCCTTAATGAAAGTACGTTTTTGTCTACTCAACATCAAGTTACGCTTAATTAATGAATCCTAGTAATATTATTTTCTGATTCATTTGCACAATATATAAATACATATATAATCTAACAGCGCAGTATACGTTAAGGAGGGGTTCGTTCCAGGAATCATACGTCTGAAAGCGCTTTCATCAAATAATTCGCTTCTTGACAGAATCCCACTCATAAAATGTTAAAGATTACAAATAGAAATTCAACCAAAGTGTCTCATAGTTGACTACGTAATTAACACTGATCTATTGTAATAATCGAATCTATGTAATAATAATGATAATAATGATAATAATAACGATAATAATAATAATAATAATGTATTATCCTATTTAATCGTAACAGTAGCACTGATGAGATCATTTTAATCATTAAATTTAAATAGAAACGGAAAAGAAACCTGATGATGATGACCATGATTATAATAATAATACATGGCTCGACAAAATAACCCAGCTGTTAAAATGAATAACCAGCCCTAGTGATGGTTATGACGATTCGACAAGATAAACTTAAGTACAACGAAATTCTGCCCAAACAGTCAAAAATTATCATGGGAATTTTTCGCAACTAGAACAGAAAGATACAGTTCTTCCTGAAAAAAAATGTGTGCATTAAAGGTTGACACTGTACGGTGTTTAGACATGGAAAATAAAATGATGAAAGACTAAGTAAGCAGATGAATTTGAGGCATGTCAATGAGATGAATTCTTAGGGCCTTAAACATTTTTAAACAATCACAGATATTGATTTCTGATGTTTGAACAGATTAATCCACGAGAACTTACAGCTTTCTGCATAATTAAGACCAATAGGTAATGATTTTATAAATTGATGTTATATCTTGATTGATCTATAAGTTTAACCATCTCCATTTCAATTGACACGAAAATAACTGAATAAACAGTGGTTTACATTGTGTAACACCATCAGAGTCGATAAAATTTTAAAACTTAGGTCCAAGATTTCATGCCGATCGCTTTCAATCATCTGACATCAAAACAATGTGCATACAACGTTGAGTTACTCATAATTAGTAGACACAATATAGAGTTATATTGTACAATAACCCTTTGACAGTCATTCGAGTATATGAGGTACCACAGACAGTGTATGCTGAGAAAGATCACTCACATTTTGTATTAAATTATGATATTTTACTAATAACAATCTGAAAAAATGACAACGACAACAATAACCTCTACAAATCCAAAAATGGTTTTTATCACATGACAATGTCAGTTGACCACTTACTGAAAAATTGAAGAACGACAAACCTTTTGACATTTCGAATAAATCATTTACCAAGTACATGTTTAAATACTCGGCTTTAAAGCCAAACCTTTTGCGAGAAGGCTAATAACACCACCCAGACGGTCCAAACCTAAGTAGGTGTTGATGACATGTGGCTGGAGGTAATCGGCAGGAAACCTTAGACCTAGGGATTCTTGATGGTTGGTACTCGTTAGCAAGATATACCTGTAATTGTCAGAGAACTGATGCTTTCTAAAAGGATTCGAACCCATTTCCCTCAGTTTTACTGCTTGAAACGTTACCACTGAATTATTCGGGCTGCACCTAAACGTCAAAAAGGTGCTGCAGAGTTCAAATTTGCAACCTAATGGTTGAAAGTCGCTAGATATTAATACATAAACACACAAAACCTCTACAAATGACGTTATTAAGACGAAATAAAATGATAGATTACGTTTTGGTGTTCATTCAGTATAACATGAAGTATTCATTATGTATTAATTCATCTCCACCACTTCAGATAAGTATAGTATTTATTGACTAATTACCAAGCAGCACTAAAAAATATATATCTAAATGCGTATTTAATTAAAGCTATTGTCGTGTTTCTGAAGTGTAAATAAGATTTCCATTAATCATCCATTTTTGTCTTCTTGCTTGAATTGTGAAAAAAAAACACTTTCCCCTATTGCCAGTATCAGTTTTCTCAGTTTTCTCAGTTATAACAGAAACGTGCAAATCAGCACTGTCTTTAACTTGACTTTCACTATTCAATTGTGTCACCAGCCTAATGACCCAGTCACAGATGGAATTACATTTCATTAATTTTAAAATGTTTCTTTGACGGAATGAGTTATTACCAAATATGTACATATTTTTTTACTACTGGAAAAAAAACATGTACATCTCCTTATTATTGCAAAGAGCGATGATGAATGAACACTGTGAACGAGCCGAGAAATAACACTAAAAATTAATTTTCCATATTTATTAGTTTTGAATATTGTAGGCGTAAGTAATTTTCAATATTTACTCAACTTGTATACATATATAGATGTATATATTTGGCGATCTGTTATGAAAGAAATAATAACAATTAATTCAGCGTCAACTTGAAATCAAATAAAAACCGAAATAACTTTTTTAACACTCAAAAAAACTGAAAATCATCAAAATATAGGAAATACTTTATCACCAGCCGACAACAATTTAAAAACAGTCGAAATGAATCAAGGGCAAAGCATCTGCTTTGGAATAGATGAAGACACCTTGACAGTCCTTATCCATGGTCTTACACTGGACCAGAACAAGGATACTTATATCTTGCAGCGAGCACGATACCATTGATCTGTGAAGCTGTGACTTTTGGAGCCAATTAAGTCAAGAGTGAATAATTTACACTGATGAATCTGAATAAGGATAGCACTTTATCACAAATCGGCTAGAGTTTGGGAATGTTAGTATTAAATTCTGATCAAGCTTGTTGAGACACCGAAATGGCTTCGACTCAGTCTTAGATTTGAGTGATTATTGGCTGCATGTCCAAACCAGAGTGAAAACATCATTTAACTGTGTTACCTAGATTTGAACAGCTCTGGAGATGGTGTCAATTTACGATAAAAATAAACTTTAAAATATAGTCATCAAAGAAAAACTACTTAAATTAATTTGTTTATTACCTTGAGTGAATCCAAAAGATATTGAAATATGAGTAAAGGAAAATCACAAGGATCCCACAATTTATGATTATCTAAATGCCTACAGAAAATATTTAAAAACAACAATCATCGATACATAGATTCGTTTACTTTCAATAAAAAAAGTGTTTTAGCATGAATTTCATTCGAACGAAGATAGTAATTTATTAAATACTGACATAACTCTTGATCTGTCAGTAACTAAGCTGTGTTAAATAAATGGGTATTAACCAAACCTAAAAACGAACTCCAATCAAATCGATAGCCAAAAACGTCAACTAATGAATAATGGACCAGTTTTATATAATTATAGAATCAACCATACAAATACACGGCGAAGATCCACTTAGATGATGCATTGATTTAGTGAGCATGTCGTAATCAAATTTAGTCATGAAAGTCATCAAATAGTCAATAAAGATTATACAAATAATCGGTGGGAAATGTCCCTAAAAATAAACGTTAGCATTTCATAGTTTTCAATCTTAGAGTTCAAATCAGGCTATTGACAGGTTGAGGTACACCCAGAGGACAGAGCAAAGACGGGACTTTTTATTCCGACTGGGTTATACGAATTTCAAACAATACTCTTCGGACTAACTACTGCCCCTGTAACCTTTCAAACACTCATGCAATTAATCCTGAAAGATTTAGTTTCGAAGGTGTGCATGTTTTATCTAGATGATATTGTTGTTTCCAGCAACAACGTTGAGGGACATATTCACCGTCTTCAGCTAGTGTTACAGTGACTTAGTGATGTTAGTTTAAAGGCTCATCCTAGTAAATGCAACCTACTGCTTAAGGAATTAACCTTTTCGGATCCCCTGATCGAACCTGACGGTGTTCGCGGTGGTCCGGAAAAAGTAAACTGCCAAACAACGCCCATAAATACTTCGTTTTCCAACTCTTTCCTATGATTTACGTTTCAGGTAGCTTTTTCGCACTGTTGCGAACAGCTTGATATAGTCGGGTTTTTTCACCATATGTGGCTAGTATATGCACCCACTCCATATAACCGATTCCTGATAGAGAAATAGGAAGAATATCGGATACTTTACAACGGAAAGTCTTCATGCGATCTGACTGATAGTCGTGATGGGGATCTGCATTTCTATTTTGGTGCCCGGTTGGTCGATACACAACTAATCAAAGTCCTGCAGATATTCTTGCCAACGAGCCGTTTGCCCTTCCGGTCTTTGGAATTCTGCAACCACTGGAGAGCTTTGTGAGCGGTTCTTAGTATAAAGTGTCTGCCGAGAAAATATGGTCTGTATTTCCGAATGAATTTCAAAACCGCTAACATATCTTTTCCTGTAACACAGTGATTCTTCTCAGACCGGTTCAATGTGACTTCTATGCTCAATATCATCCTCTTTGCCATCAAGTCCAACCTGGAACGAGACCACTCCTATTCCTATTTCGCTTGCGTTTGTATCTAAGAAGTACCTACCGGAATAAACCGAAGTGTTAGGAAGTATCAAGCACCCAAACGCCTTGGTACAGCCGAAAGTGGGTAGAGTTCGCTCTCCCTCTCCGAATGCTCTCACATGGTCACGTGTATAAAGCCACTGACAGGGAAGTCCCACTCATTCCCTTCTCGTGGTGTGGGTGTTGTTTACGAAATTGAGAGGACGAAAAGTGAATGTCCGGCACTTTAACCGGGTTGATGGATATGGAGGATCCAACTAGGGGAGTTACGAAATCCTGATTCCAAACCAATGGTGCACATGGGCTCCAGGATCCTGAAGGAACAAATGGTTTATGAACCAATCGTTGGTCCTTGGCTTCTATGGGATTGTATCTCCTTACGTTGCTTCACTGCCTTGTGGATTAGACCTTTAGGTCGAAGGCTCGGGGTGTGACCCCTTAAGGAGACCACCTGCTTCGGTCTGGGCACTTGGGGAGTATCACAGCCCACACACATTCATGTGACTTGTGTGTCGCATATGTATTCGGTGCCCATTGTACAAATATTAATGTGTTCAAGTAAATAAGTGTTAATACGGGTGCTGAACAGAGCGCGACGTTTAGAAAATCGAATGCGTTGTTGCAACTTCTCGAACACTCAAACTCTACACATTTATCTTTTAAACGCATGAGAGGGCTAGCTATTCCTTCATGACTTTTAATGAAACATCTGTAATAACCCGCTAAACCAAAAACACTATGTACTGCATCAGGTAACATTGATACGAGTCAATTCTTTACGGCAGTCACATTTTCCGAACCACTGCGAACACCGTCAGGTTCGATCAGGGATCCGAAAAGGTTAATTCCTTAAGCAGTAGGTTGCATTTACTAGGATGAGCCTTTAAACTAACATCACTAAGTCACTGTAACACTAGCTGAAGACGGTGAATATGTCCCTCAACGTTGTTGCTGGAAACAACAATATCATCTAGATAAAACATGCACACCTTCGAAACTAAATCTTTCAGGATTAATTGCATGAGTGTTTGAAAGGTTACAGGGGCAGTAGTTAGTCCGAAGAGTATTGTTTGAAATTCGTATAACCCAGTCGGAATAAAAAGTCCCGTCTTTGTTCTGTCCTCTGGGTGTACCTCAACCTACCAATAACCTGATGCGAAGTCCAAAGTTGGAAACCACAAGGCGCCCACCAGCCACTCCAAGGATTAGAAAATTAAGCGAAGACGCTTGCAAAATGTTATTATTCCCAGCATATGACTATTGTTAATTTTATTCGATTCTTTTCTTAAATGAATCCGAGACGAACAACTCGATATAATAGGGGCTTTTCTCAGGATTTAGGCTTGTTTTTAATGCCCATCCTATATAAAGCCAAGGTATGGCTATTAGTGGGTCAAGAATTGCGTGGAAACGAAAACTTATGTTGTTTTTTATAAAATATAATTTTTTTAATAAGTGAATATGCCAAACACGTCAAAGTGATTTAGTTGACAGTCAGCGACTTAATAATGTCTTTGTTTTGGTGTCATTATTAGCATTTTCTCGACAGAAACGCATAACTTAATTCACTTTGAATAAGATTGTACAGCTTTAGCAAATGACATAGCCGAAAAGAAAATTTTATTCGATGAACAAACCATAGTATTGATGGTCTGTATAAACATAACAGTCTGATAATTGCGAAAGACACCTGATTTTTGAGTTACTAAACATCAAAATATTTGTATGACCAGTTGTGCTTTCCATCTAAGATTATTTACATGGCGAGCCGAAGCTTTTTTACACTTATATGTCCGGTTGGCTACAAATACCTATTTAATTCATGTATGCATGGTTTATATCAATTTCAGCTGTCGAACATGACAGAAATATTAGTGATCATATTATATTACAGACTTGATCGCTACCTGGATTAAATATCACAATTTAATCAAAAAAAGGTGACAAAAGGGAGTCCTACATCTCGTTTAAACGTTAATCAGCTAAAATTATTCAGGATTATTAGTATAAACATATATATGGGGGGGAAAGGCATTCAACAACATAACAAGATTCATTGGAACAAGTCTTCTAAGTAATTCAATCAATAAATATATAATACAATGAACTAGGACGTTATATATCCCCAGATCGTCCGTAATTGTCAGCCTGAGACATCTTGATAGATGTAGACAACTTGTTTGGGGCTCAAACGATTACTGAAGTCGGTTGCAATGCTCTAGATGCATTCACTCCTTATCCTCCCTCAGAATTTAAGTTCCAAAATTACTTTATCCTTTCAATTTTGTAAATCGATTCTTTCTTCTCACATGTTATTCTCTGTGCCTAGTCTTTGTCTACAACTTCTATTACTCTGGAATTTGTTTAGAAAATTTTTTTTATCTCACTTTGTTGATTTAGCGTGTCAAATTAAACAGATGTACATATGTAGCAAGTTGAAAGCTGCTTATAACTGAATAACTGACCACACCCTTTAAATTAATTGACTTGTTTTCTATTTGCCTGAAACTTAATTTTACCTTGTTTCTGTAATACCTTTTTAATTGCGACCTGGATGAATAGTACTTCTATCGTTTTCGAACTCTGTCTATTGTGCCATTTAGTTGTCTAAGATTTTTTAAAAATTGTGTGCATGTTACCACATAAAAGCTATATCTCCGACTTTCAAACACACGCGGCTTTACTAAGTAGGGAAAAACTAGCTGCAAAAGTTATTTAAATATACAAAGCGAAATAATCATCTTGTTATTTATTCACATAGAAGAAACACAAACTTACGTTAAAATAGATGTTACCACAGGTTTGATATTTGTATAAGAAGCTTGTCTAACAATATCTTCGAACACATATACAGCTTCTTGTGAAGGATCACATTGCGATTCATTTGAATTGGAATCTAGTTCAAACCTAGGGGACAAGAATTTTCCAGAAGAAAACACAGATTAAATTAAAACCTCATTTATAATAGTGACTAATATCTTTTAAAAGTATTGCAATATAACCTGTGATATAATCATGGATTATGAAAAATTATATATATATATATATATATATATATATATATATATATATATATATATATATGCCCCTAAATGCCCTGGTACAGACGAATGTGGGAAGAGTTCGCTCTCCCTCTCCGAATGCTCTCACATGGTCACGTGTATAAAGCCACTGACAGGGAAGTCCCACTCATTCCCTTCTCGTGGTGTGGGTGTTGTTTACGAAATTGAGAGGACGAAAAGTGAATGTCCGGCACTTTAACCGGGTTGATGGATATGGAGGATCCAACTAGGGGAGTTACGAAATCCTGATTCCAAACCAATGGTGCACATGGGCTCCAGGATCCTGAAGGAACAAATGGTTTATGAACCAATCGTTGGTCCTTGGCTACTATGGGATTGTATCTCCTTACGTTGCTTCACTGCCTTGTGGATTAGACCTTTAGGTCGAAGGCTCGGGGTGTGACCCTTAAGGAGACCACCTGCCACTGCCATAAGTCGGATGGAACGAACTGCTGCGCAGTAAACTCGTCCTTTGGTTGGTAGACGGACATCTCACCTACGCCATAAACGACGCAAGTTGGTAAAAGCTAGTCGAGCCTTCTGTATCCGTGCTGAGATTTCGTCACACACCAGACCACAAGGGCTGATGAGACTTCCAAGATAAGTGAAGCGATCGACACACTCAACTACTTCACTCCCTATCATTAGTTCGGGTGTCGATGCAACCCAATCCTGAAGCAACATTTTGCATTTCGAGGGGAGAATCGCATCCCGAACATGCTTGCATTGTTGCTTAGAGTGGTCAGAAGACTCTGCATTTTGTCAGCGTCTTCACCAAATAAAACTATGTCATCAGCATATTCTAAGTCAACAAGTGAACCTCCTGGTAGAAGTTCAACCCCTGGAAATTTAGATGAGGAAAGTGTTATCTCTAAAAGTACGTCAACGACAAAGTTGAACAAGAATGGGAGAGTGGACAGCCCTGACGAACACCACTTGAGGTAATCAATTCTGATGACAGTTCGCCATAAGCTCTCACTCGACCAGTTGTGTTCGAGTAGAGAGCCTTTATAAGGTTAATGTACTTCTTTGGTACTCCTTTCAGTGACAAACACTGCCATAGAACCTCACGATCAACAGAGTCGAATGCCGCCTTAAGGTCGAGAAATACTACCATTGTGGGGCGTCTGAATGTGTGTCTGTGTTCTAGAACCTGACGTAGTGTGAATATCTGATCTATACAACCACGTCCAGGTCGAAAACCAGCCTGGTTTTCTCTAGTCTGCTCTTCACGAGCTTTAGTTAGGCGTCGAAGTATTATTGAAGCTAATATTTTAGACACTATATTAGTCAAACTGATTCCTCTGTGATTGTCACAAGAGGACTTTTGTCCTTTCTTATAGACTGGCACAATCAGTGATTGAGACCAGTCAGATGGGATTACGTCCAGTTCCCAAATTCTACCTAAGACCTCAGTTAATCTCATTGCTAATACTGGACCACCATCCTTAAAAATCTCAGGAGTAAACCTGTCAGGGCCTGCTGCTCTCCCTCGTTTCAGATTTCCTATGGCTTTTTCAACTTCGTAAAGAGACGGAGGACCTACATTAACTTGCCATTCAGGTTGACTGGAGATCGTGGGAAACCGAAGTGTGGCTGAAGGCCAGTTGAACTGATCCCTAAAGTGTTCTGCCCATCGATCCAATCTCCTGGATTGAGAATGAATAATATGTCCATCTTTCTCTGAGATTGTTTCGCTAACGGTCGGGTTCCTAATTCCGGTTTCCTTAACGAGTCTGAACAATTGTCTGCTATTACCTATTGCCGCTGCCTTTTCCATCTCTCTTGCTTTCGCTACCCACCACTGTTCACGATCATTGCGTAGACTTCTTGTCAGCTTGCGCTTAAGCTGACTCCGCTCTTCATTATGTTCAGAGCCAGGTGGAATGAGTTTCCGAGCATCTATCAGTGCGATAGATGCTGCTGAGATCCAGTGTTGCTCCCTAACCTTCTGGTTTACCTTACTAGCAGATATCACTGCTGTTTCCACAGCTTTTCGGATATCATTCCATGCTGCATCGGGGTGGGCATCACATACATGGCTGCCTAACTGTTTTCCTAGTTGTTCCTGAAATATACTCTTAGCTTGACTATCATTAAGTAGGCCCTAAGAGGTTTCCTTGCAGCGTCTTTCCTACGTCCAGTAAGACGCAAGCAAATACGCGCTCGCACTAGAGCATGATCTGAATCTAGGCATGTGCTCCAGAATGAGCGACAGTCTTCTATCGAGCCCCTCCATCGGTGGCTGATAGCGATGTGATCTATTTGGGTCCAACGTTGGGACGAATTAGGGGGTCGCCATGTTAAAAGATGTTTTTCCTTATGCTTAAAGTTAGTATTTGCAAGGAACAGGCGGTTATCTGAGCATAGCTGCAACAGACGGTCGCCATTATCTGTTCTTTGAGCCACGACCATAAGATCCACCTAGGTGTCTTTCCCTATCGCTTAGTTTACCTACTTGAGCATTAAAGTCACCGGCCACTATTACTACATCCGAGCGCCTAGCTTTTCGGAGAAGGTCGGAAAGCTTTCTGTAAAACTCATCTTTTACATCATCTGAGCTGCAGTCAGTGGGAGAATAGGCAGAGACGACGAAGAGGCAACGACGAGTGTCCCTATCTTTCCGGATTCTTACTGTTCCGTTCAGTCGGACAGCGCACAAACGACTGTCTACTGGGATCCACTCTAAGAGAGCTAGTTCTGCCCTAGGACTCAATGCTATACCTACGCCGGCGAGGCCACGGGAAGCAGAATCAGGGCTTCCAGATACACGAAGCGTAAATCGAGTCGGTTCTTTATTTTGGCATGGTGAGGTCAAATGAATGACGCTACTCGGATCCTGTATGCGCGTTTCGGAGACGCAGCACACATCGATGGCGCGAGATTCTAAAGTCTAGCTAAGGAAGCCTGTTGTCCTATTTGGCACAGTGTTCGTACGTTAAAAGCTCCTACGTGTAGTTTAGAGCGTGGTTTCAGGAGACCAGGAATGGCGTTCCGCGTACTCGAATCGTTTGCCCTAGCGGTGCGAGGTGATAAAGAGACGTGAGGAGGGTTAGTCATGGAGATAAGAGAGGTATTAGGAGGTGTAGGAAGGATTTGAATGTGACCACTTGGTCTCCTGTGCTGTTACGGGTATGAGGGCTGATATCACTTCCCGGCTGCCCACACCGTGGAAGGGTATTTCTTGAGGAACCTGAAAAGGAAATTGGATTAGTGTTGGTCTTAACGACCTGGGAGCGTGACCGCAGAGCCCAAGGGACAACTGCTTGAGGCCGGTCGCGCACGGCCTTTTCGTGGAAGGTTTTTGACGTGTTAGCTCCGTTCTTCAAAGGGCCTTACCGCCGGAGACGGAAATCCGTGAGGTAAGGTGAGGTGTGACATTTTTAGGGTCGACCTTTTCTAACCCCACCCCTCCTTGTGGGAAGGCAGCATCGCTGCTCATGCTGGTTGTCCGAGGGAAACACCTTACTGCTGTCACACCTCTACAGTCAGCAGTACGACTTCGCCCTCAGACCTTGAGTTGCTGCTTTTAGTCTTACCGTTCTCCAATCGACCTGCCTGGCATGGTAGAACCTACAGGAACATATGTTCCAGCCAATATAGCTCGGTTGGGTCATCACGATAGGCAAGCCCGACCACCGCGTCAAGGTAGTAGCTTCGGTCGGGCATTAAGATTAAGTATTGAAATGAATACCCGGAATTTGAAAAATCGTGTTCGATAAACTGTTTCATGAAAATTCAATAGACAGTCAAGCTCTCAAATTTTAAATCGTAATCAGACAATTTGCTTTGATATCTTACTTGTCACACATATTGAATAGGAGTGGAAGTACGATTTTGTCCATATTCGACTCGTGAACTTCCAGTATCAGTTGGTCGCTGACCATTTTACGAACAACACCTTGGATTCCTTGTATACCTGCCACTCTGACACTGGAAGCACTTGAGAAAATCAATGGGGACTTACGCGTTACGCTCTTGTGGGTTGGAAAAAGATGCGTGAGCCATAGCAGCAAAATGGTCAAGAATCTCATTACATTCCTTGTGATAGTTGGGAGAATCATCGTCTATCTTAGAAAACTCTACAAACTTCACCCAAATTAACCAAAAAGGATTGGTGACTTGCCGACTTAGACGCCATTATTTGTAGGTCCATGCGATTAGTCTCCAGAAGTAGTTGAATCATTTTCAAAAAACTAATAGCCAGAACTAGTCTGTGACCATGACAAACTTGGATTAGTTTGTCAATAGCTTTGACGGATATCGATATATTTCTTGGGGTAATAAACATAAAACAAGCTTACTGATCATAACGCCTACTGAGATCCTGTGAGAGTCTCAGGTGCAAGTACTTGGCAATTCGATCCAGCTTATCGGGTTGGTGTAAGCAATAATGTATGAGTTTATTATGGTTATTAGTATCCTAAAAATTCGCGACATACAAAAATAACATTTCAAGCAAACCTGAGGGCTGCCAGAATACAAATTATCAACCATTTTCATCCATTTTGGTCTGCATGGCCCGCACTTAAAACACGTTGACCTCACACCTAGTAGATCCCTTAAATTAAAGGCAAAATAACACAGAAACCTTACATATCATCCCAAAACACTGCAACGCATCAATTCGTAAAAGTCACACACTAAATCTCAACATTTGAACAATAAAACACAGTTTGTCAATTGAAATGTGGGAAAGACTAATAGCATAATAGTACAAATCCTCAGTATTCGTACTTCCTTCCCAATTGTTTTTCGATGGTTTCAGTTACTGACACATGAAGACACCATACTCTGCTGTATGTATCAAACGCCTAGGGTTCAGTACCACAATTTTTAGGTTTGTGGTAACCTTACAACAACTTAAAAGACGACGAAAATTTATCAAAACCTTTCTGTTTACCTAAAAAGTACATGTGCTTGGTTCAGCAACGATAGAGAGTCATAAGGAAGAATAATGCGGATTAAGATGTCTGAAAATTTACAGAGGCTTTAACTTTGCTGAACCTATTCAAGGTGGAAAACTGGACAAACCTCTCAGCCACAACGTTTTGTCTCAAACTGTCGAATCCAGGCTGGAACCGATCTGTCTGACTAGGTACATATTGCACGACTTACCCCATCCATGTGTTCGAGCAAATGTCAAGATGATCTCATAATGATTTTTCGGGCCTGGAACAAATAAATTAGTAAGGGAATGGATATGATCTTATATGAACTATAAAAAACCTAAAGTGGTTGAACAGTTAAGTTTTTTGAGGCCTTTACCAAGTTTTTGATAGTAGAACATTGACATATATCAAAGTCCCTTTCCACATAGGCTTATTTCAACCAAACTACTTTATGACGTCATTCGACCACCTAATCCAGATTATAGGGTCGGTGAAATAACACTAAACTATACCCAAATTTGTCTGCTAAGCTGAACGCATTACAATCACGAAAAACTGGTTGCATGGACGGTAAAGCTAATGATGACTAACACTTATTATTCGGTCTCTCGAATGGGGTGATACTTTTGGTAGCCTTGATGCCTGCGTTCATTCTATTCTTTCGCCTACCCGTAAATTCACTGTTGGCAAGAAAGCTTTTATTCGGTCTCTAGGTTTACTACATAGCACGTAGCCAGGTCATGGGTTTAGAGGACTGAGCCAAACAGGAGTTGTTTTAGTGGTATCGGTTCCTAACCACATGATCTTTGAAGCCGAGCATATAATTAATAATTTACATTCACCAGGTAACACTTAAAGAAAGTCCAAAATGGTGGACGCGGGAACAATTGATCGGTGTAGCATGGCCCAGGCTTGCAGTGTCACCAAATGTATAACTCATCCCTGATCATATTAAGATATATAATCTTATCCCCAAAAGTACTAAACATCGCACTGCTGACTCACGACACGATGAGTCTGAATAAACAGTGATGTGGTTTCAACGTAAGATCTTATGGAATAGGTAGTCACGTCATGACAAATCTACAATTTTGGGACTGTGTATGAATATGGTGACAAAGATAAATGTAGCAATACTGAATTAGGTTAAATCCTACATCGGTGAAACCGACTGAAGGGACTTGACCTTTTATTAGTTATCATATTCACTTTAATTTAATCTATTGATCTTTTCTTCAACCCATTATGTTATTAATTCGTTGATTGATGCTCATGTGTATTGTTGTATTGTAATAGTGATTAGTTATTTTAGATTATTGGATCGATCGATGCCAATAACTGGTCATCTATATTCATATTTAGCCACTATGGTCTATTAACAGGTATTAGCTTCGTTTACAAATAACCCTATAGTTCTGCTAGGGCTACTATCGGTTCCAAGTTCGGGTAAAGGAGCAGGGTTGGATATAGGGTCATCAACCCCATACCATGGAAAAAAACCTTGCCAAAAAACTCTAGGTGGGAAAAACAGTTTAAACTCTGCCCTCCGGGTTGAAGGACCTTCATTCAGAAGAATTATGTCGCCTCTTGTTGAAAGCCGAGATGTTCTGAAAATCACGAGACCTATACCCCTTCTAACAACCAGAGCAACAACTGATATATTTACATGGAACGTTCAGGCAGTGTGGGAGTCTGGGTGGACTAGTCATATAGCAACGGAAATGGGGAGATGCAATTTGACGGTTCTCGGAATCAGCGAAACACATTGGACCCAAGCTGCACAGCAAGGGTTAATTCGTTTTCTACCTCATGCTAAACTCGAAACTTGCAACTAACCTGTATGCACCATGAGCCGATAAGTATGGATATAAATAACCAGTTTTCCGCGCATCAAATAATTGATTCTAGGGCACATCATTCACGGTTACACTAGCGCTCAACGAACTGCTGTTAGCTATCTGTCCAAAATTCATATAATTATAGCTATTTTCACGTAATAAAAGCATTTTTGATAACAATTCATATATATCATTAGTTTTATTAAATATCGTCATGAAAGCACAGTCACATATTGCCATATTGCTCATTATCACGATAGGACGAGTCATTGTAGATAATGCCGTGACTTCAACGCTAGATCTCATATCAGGACAAATCTATGATTTTGGGGTTAGTTATATTATTAAAGTAGTATTAGTAACGAAGTAGACGGTGATTCTATGGAGACAATGAGAAGTCATGGTGACTCCGTCTTCGAAATTGATTTCCACCCTTAATGTTTTTTTCTAACAACAGATGTCCTAGAATAAGTTATGTAGCCGCATCGTACAGAAAATGTTTCGTCTTAAAATACTGTGACATTGCTGTATTTTCCAATACAACAACAGTTTTTTTCTGCCAGCATGGGCGATTGTTTTGGTGTCCTGATTAAAAGAATATAAGGTGGCTCCATCGGTGTTTAAGAGTCACTATGTGTTGGTAACAGGATGTAAAGTAGAGGCTCCGTAACCTGGAATGAAACGTTTGTATGGCCAGTTTTCAGCTTTCTTTGGCCTTGTGTCGCTGTGTTAATTTTGTGGACAACTTCGCTTTCCTCAAGAGTCAACCATGAGTGTTAGGATATCCAGTTAAACGTAGGTTTAAGAGAATCCTTGAACGAATGTGCATATAAATGTGTGAAAATCCCCCAATCACTGTCTCCAAGTGGCAACGTTTTTGTTCTTCTCCGTATGTAACGCTTTTTCTCGGGCCTTCTGCAATTATGTATATTATGTATTAAATTTTTCGATCCCTTTACATTTATTTTATCTCTTTAGTGCCTACAGATTCCGAAATCATCTTAATCATCGGTGTCGCCGAGTTTTCAATAACTGTTTCACTTTTGTTTTGTTTATCACTACTTTTTGGGGCTAATTAAATTAGATTACTTTGCTTTCGTTATGACAGCGTAAACTAACGGTCTCATCTTTCTATTACAGATAGTGAAGCGCATTCCCTGTTTGTTTTGGTAATTTATACAAGTGATAACATGTAACTGGTTGTATTTCATGTATAATTATCATTTTATGGCCGATCGCCCATCATTGGAGGAAATAAAATCAACGTATACTTTTTCTTTGTGTAGGATATCATTCCTTGATTGATAGGAATATTCTTCCTGTTGTAACAGCTAGGCTTAACCAGACATCTGTACCCATTGAAAGTGAATTTTCCAGAGATTTGGTTAAATGTTTACGTTCATTTTTATTCCTCATCTAATTGATTGTTTGTCTCATTAATATAGGACGGTTCTTGACCATCATCGTATTTTGATGTATTTGAACCAATAAGAGAGTGGCTACGAGCACTAGTAGCACGGATCCGCCGAAATTCGAGAAATTCTGAATTTAACAACAGGTTACAAACAAATGCAAGAACACAAAGTTAATACTGAAGGAATGGAAAAAATTGAGATGTTCACAAACATGTTTTTAAATCTCAGAGTATTCCTACATGTCATTTAAAAGTAACAGCAGTGAATATTAAGAAAGGTGAATACTGTTGTTACTAAGATAACGGTTTTCCGAATATTTTAAATAGATATTTGACTACATCACTGTGATCAAAGTCATGTTTGATCTTTAGAAGGAATATTTTGATGTAATGTTTATTGTGTATGATGTCGAGTTTTACTGACACTCCTTTTGTTTTCATAGTGTTGCAAGGTTCACAAACACAAGTGTGTGAATGCGTCAGCTCATTTTTCTAAACTCTCTCAATATATAATATTACACACATAGCAACGTCACAAAATAAGTGTAGACAATATTAACACTGGACACATACAGCTCAACCTGATTTGGTTTATTTTCTCGGAAATCAAAACAAAGTAGCAATAAATCAGATACCATCAGTGTTTATTTCTCACCGATAATATTGATGACCATTTTCGTTTGATCGCGTTCTATTCCATCTGTTAAGAAACAGATATTGGTCAACGGGATGGCCATTATTTTTCTGCGGTTAACCGAGAAAACTGTGGAATTTAATTTGTCCTACATATACATACTACTAGAACTACAAACGCGATACTGGTGACCCCAGAGTCCATGTGAAAGCTATAGTCAGAACAAGGACAACTTGGCTTTGAACTTTATCTGTTTCTAAACGTAAAAACAATTAGATTGTCGTTAAGTGGAACGTACAAACATACCAACTAGTGTTGCATGTTTTATCGAAATGAACAAAAATTATGAGTCACATCAATAGAATGGGATAATAATATCCATACAACAGGGATAGTCTAGAGACACACTAGACCAGATTGACGTGGTGAGCGCTTAAACAACGATTTGATTGGTTAGTTGTGGACATAACTAACATTCCTCGCAAACGGACACCACGTTCATGCTTCACTGCCATCGCCTCCATATGATCGGCTGATCTCTTCGGCTGCTGTCTTCGGTCAAATCGTACTGATTCGTCCATCCGGATCATAACTGACCTGTCTAACTCTAGCTTACGGCCACAGACTTTCTTTGAGCTAGTATTGCCTACTAATACCAGATCTCCTAGTTGTAGATTTCTTCTTATGTTCAACCACTTGGACCTAGCCTGAATAGTTGATAGGTACTCCCGTAGCCTTCTGTTTCAGAATGTTGTCTAGTTGTTGCTCTTCCTTCCATCTTCTGTTGTAAACACGTTTTCTTACCTGCGCTTCGTCGAATAATAC